TGGCTTTTTGTTTTCGAAAGGGAATATTACCCACAATCAAAGTCAATGTTTTCATGTTTGCTCGATTCGCGAAGCTTTTTTCACCAGACTGCTTTATGAACGAGGGTCAGTATAAAGCTGGTTTTGATAAGAAGCTGCTCCTGATAGAAGAATCGGTAATGTTGACTCACGGTGTTCCGGATGTCTGAAAATTTGTACTCCCTGTGTTTCGGACGGGTGGAAGGAGTCATTTCTAATACACTCACCGGCCACTTTATTAGGTACCCCATGCTAGTAACGGGTTGGACCCTCTTTTGCCTTCAGAACTGCCTCAATTCTTCGTGGCATAGATTCAACAAGGTGCTGGAAGCATTCCTCAGGGAGTTTGGTCCATATTGACATGATGGCATCACACAGTTGCCGCAGATTTGTCGGCTGCACATCCATGATGCGAATCTCCCGTTCCACCACATCCCAAAGATGCTCTATTGGATTGAGATCTGGTGACTGTGGAGGCCATTTGAGTACAGCGAACTCATTGTCATGTTCAAGAAACCAGTCTGAGATGATTCCAGCTTTATGACATGGCGCATTATCCTGCTGAAAGTAGCCATCAGAAGTTGGGTACATTGTGGTCATAAAGGGATGGACATGGTCAGCAACAATACTCAGGTAGGCTGTGGCGTTGCAACGAAGCTCAATTGGTACCAAGGGGCCTAAAGAGTGCCAAGAAAATATTCCCCACACCATGACACCACCACCACCAGCCTGAACCGTTGATACAAGGCAGGATGGATCCATGCTTTCATGTTGTAGACGCCAAATTCTGACCCTACCATCCGAATGTCACAGCAGAAATCGAGACTCATCAGACCAGGCAACGTTTTTCCAATCTTCTATTGTCCATTTTCGATGAGCTTGTGCAAATTGTAGCCTCAGTTTCCTGTTCTTAGCTGAAAGGAGTGGCACCCGGTGTGGTCTTCTGCTGCTGTAGCCCATCTGCCTCAAAGTTCGACGTACTGTGCGTTCAGAGATGCTCTTCTGCCCACCTTGGTTGTAACGGGTGGTTATTTGAGTCACTGTTGCCCTTCTATCAGCTCGAACCAGTCTGGCCATTCTCCTCTGACCTCTGGCATCAACAAGGGATTTCCGCCCACAGAACTGCCGCTCACTGGATGTTTTTTCTTTTTCGGACCATTCTCTGTAAACCCTAGAGATGGTTGTGCGTGAAAAACCTAGTCGATTAGCAGTTTCTGAAATACTCAGACCAGCCCTTCTGGCACCAACAATCATGCCACGTTCAAAGTCACTCAAATCACCTTTCTTCCCCATACTGATGCTCGGTTTGAACTGCAGGAGATTGTCTTGACCATGTCTACATGCCTAAATGCACTGAGTTGCCGCCATGTGATTGGCTGCTTAGAAATTAAGTGTTAATGAGCAGTTGGACAGGTGTACCTAATAAAGTGGCCGGGGAGTGTATATAACACATACATTTTAACAACTATAAGCTGGGTTGGTCGGAAAGCAAAAGAGGATGAGGCAAAGATTGCAACAGACCACAAATGTGCCATATATGTTGTCTTTGCAATCTGCTGTAAAGTATGAAAAAGGAAAAAATAAAAATCATCATGAGGAAAAGAAAGCAACTGAAAAGAGCTCTTGCCGTAGATATTCTTGCTACGTATAACATGTCACGTTAAAATACAAAGTATAACGTTATACTCATGATGTCTGAAAATAAATCATGAAGGAAAATTGACAGCTCATCCAGATTCAGCTTTATTTGTAGGGTAACCTTATGATTTGAAATGATTCGTTTTAGCCTTTTTTAATGGAAGTAACCCAAACCGGAAGTGCCACCCATAATTCAAAACGCAGGTGGATTAGGACCAGGCCTAATGTCATGTGCGGAACTTTTGCTAAATGTTCCGGAAGTGTGGAATATTATGTACTGTATTTGTTTTGTTTTTTATATGATAACTGACCGATTTGCTGTATTTCTTTTGAAGAGTCCACGTACAGAAGCTCTTCAGAAGCTGTGTTTGGACAGCAGTCCACTGGAATGGAGCGTCACGGACGTTGTGCGATTCATCAGGACCACTGATTGTGCTCCGCTGGCACGCATCTTTATGGACCAAGTAATTGAACACACATTAACATCCAATCCCAAGTGGTCAGATAAGATAAATCGCTGTTTATACCTAGTAGGAATATCCTGTGACCACCTATGTGCAGCACAAAATAGTAAATGTTAGGACTTTGGACTTTTATTTCCTCTTAAAGCTGCTCTATTTCATGCCAAAAATGAAACCTCTTGTCTTAGAGTAATGGTTGATTGACTGGAGGCCCCCAAACATGACAGACAAAAGTCATTTTGGCCATGAATTCATAATTTCCTTAGTTTTAGATCAATCGTGGCCATGAGCAAATAGAACAAATTAGTCCAATAGTGAATTCTTAATTTATGGCCTTGTCCTTTTTTTTTTTTTTTCCACGTAATTTTGCAGATGACATGTCGGTTTGAGTAATTGGATCGCAAAACGCTTTTGGGCCTCATCTAAACCTAAACAGATCTTTATACTAGGTGTAAATACATTGCGTAGATTAAACTACATCTTTTGCTTCACATACTTAGGAGTCTTAATTTAGGATCCTGTATCTGTATATTATTCAACTCTTTTTCATTTACCTTCCAGGAAATTGACGGTCAGGCGCTGCTTCTGTTGAACCTTCCCACTGTACAGGAGTGTATGGACCTGAAGCTCGGCCCTGCCATCAAGCTGTGCCATCACATAGAGCGGGTCAAGCTGGCATTTTACCAACAGTTTGCCAGCTGAGGGTGGCTGTCTGTAGAGAAGAGTAGGGCATTTGACATTTGATGTGACTTTCCTAAAATGTGAGATCGTCCTTTTGCTCTATGGATCATAGAACCTTTAAAATCACTTAGCGCTTTAGACGCCTCCTGTACCATTAGTTCTTCAGTTGAGATTAACTACTGGAGGAGCGTTTTTCAACAGGGTCAATCTGGTACTTTTACTGCTGGGCTCTTCATCTCAAAATAAGCCTGGATTAGTGTTTAGTTTGATCTTTTTCTCTTTTTTTAAAAAAGATCTGGGTTGGATGAACTGTGTCTGCAACAATAAGTAAAGCTCTTTACTTGTTTAAAAAAAAAAAACTTTATTAACTGTAGAGCGGATGACAATGCAATTACCTTAAGCACAAAAAAAAATGCCCATGTACTGTAAGTGGTATGCAAACTTGTACATACAGGTGTGTTAATGTAAATACTGTAAATAACCAGATGTTAATTTTAGCGGGACTGCTTTAAGGTTCCCATTTCGGTTTGGTTTTCTATAACAGCTTGGGAATTACACTGTAACACAACAGTGCAAAAGATGGGGCATGATATATGCCTGATGCTGCCATTTTGGTTTCTGTAAATACTAATAAGCATTTGCTCATCTTAATGATGCATTATTAAATAAAAGTGCAGAGTAATAAAAAGTAATGAGGTGTTGGTTAAGACATAAGCACACAAATACTTCAGGTTATGTCACTGACTGTGATGTGGAAAATTTGAATTGTGGCAAATCCAGGGTCTATCAACAACACCAAATTGAAAAGAGTCTTGTGTTCTTACAAACCTGTCTGCTTGTAAAAGTATTATTTTTAATAGAAGTATAATGCAGCATCTGTGTTTTAATGCAAATACTGCATTCAATAATTTCAGGGGCCTCTGTGTTGTAATGGTCTAAATAACTGGTTTGGTTTTGCATTGCAAAGCTATAGCCCTACACAACCAGATAAAATCATTTGATTTATTATCTGTGGATTGTATTTGAATTGGTAATGAGATATGCAACAGTCTCCATTTCCTTGATTTAACAGTCCATTTCCCTTCTTTAAGTATTTGTGCAGGAATGAGAAAGATGAATTTGGAACCTCGTCTTGCCACATTCCGTTTTGTTCATTTCCTGTTTTTCACCCGTTTAATTAAAGGATGTTGAATTAATAATGCTTTACTTTCGATTATATGTTGGTGGAAAATGTTATTTAAATGAAAATAAAATGAACAGAATCTTGCCTTTGGTTTCTTTTTCAGGGGGCAAATTTAAAGAAAGTGGATGTGGGGTCTTAAAAAAACTATGTAAGATTAGAATATGCCTTTATAGACCATTGACATTTAGGTAAATGTTGCATTATAATTATATGGTCTCTTTTGTGTATACTACTGTTTAAACATTTGGGATCTGTAAGGGGTTTTTTTGGATCTGTAAGTCTCCTATGCTCACCAAGGTGGCATTTATTTGATTAAAAATACAGTAAAAACAGTAATATAATGAAATATATTACAATTTCTGTTTTCTATTTTAATATATTTTAAAATATAATTGATTCCTGTGATGCAAAGTTGAATTTTTCAGCATCATTACTCTCTTCAGTGTCGCATGATACTTCAGAAATCATTCTGATAGGCTGATCTGCTGCTCAATAAAAAATGTGAAAACAGTTGTGCTCCATAATATTGTTTTGTGTAAAATGATTGAAAAAAATTCTTTGATGAATAGAAAGTAAAAAAGAACAGCAAATTTGACATTTCTATTTCAAATAGAAATCTTTGTAACATAAATGTCTACTCTCCTTTTTGATCAATTTAATGCATCCTTGCTAAATAAAAAATGCCGTCTTTATGGTTGTCTATTTATATGTTATAAAAAGGAATTTACTTAAACTAGCACTTAAAGAAATATGCACTTATTATTATTTGTAACAACCAGACCCCTAAAATTTTCTGATATTTAATATAGGCCTATTAAATAATACGACTTTATTGTTTGAAACTTCCAATTGATTAAATTGGGTCTATAAATGAATTTCACAATTTAAATAGATTGATTTTGTCGTTCAGCAAGTGATTTCTCAGATTTATTTTAGAATTTCATGAGCTGCACCTGCTGCGATCTTTTAAAACTACATATCCCACCATGCTCTAGTGCGACGTAACACAGTGATGACGCAGTAGACTGTCGCGTAAATGAGTGGAAACGGCACTTGAATACAGTGGGAAAGGAAGTGTCCTTCCTTTTCGGATAACATATTTTTTTTTACCAAATACGTGTGAGAGTTGGTTGGACGCTGCACTTTCTGAATCTGAGCACTTTCACAATCAATTCGTCTTCTGAAAGCAGCGGTGGCAGGAATTTCCTCAGATGGTTTGCTAGCAAAGCAAGACCGCCTGACCGGACTCTCGCTATAAAACAGCAGAACTTCCCAATCAGCCGCTTATTATCATGCGTTTCTAAACCAGTTATAACGGCAAGTGAAGTTTTAAACGTCGTATTTCTTGACTTAATTTAACCGTAATAGTCTAACTGCTTTAATTTAACCGGTAAAGCCCCAATATTGTTATCTGGCAGCTAACAGCATGCGCTCTTTAATAATCTAACCGATAACGTGAAATGTCTCCATGACAACGTGTGTTGTAGCATTGAGCATCAATGTTACACATCTGAGTCTGTAGCTTGTTTGCTTAATGCCAAAGAGGATGTTTATACAGCACAACCTGATGACAGATTTTAGGTAGCTCACAGCTGGTTAGCGACGCATCGAGGTCCAGTATGAAACACGATATATCTGCGCTTCAGTAACCGTGACTGGAGGCTAAAAGAGCCTTCATTATGTGCGATAGCTGTGTCATCATCCTGTCGATCACCTCCACTACCCGAGACTGAGATTTTGTGGCTTTTTGAAACACTCGTCGTGATCCAGTGAGTGTTGCGCAATGGCAGGTGTTGGGGTCAGTTTGCTTTCGCCGGGTCAGCTGCCGTCTGCATCCTCCAACTCCACACCCTCTGATCCTAATGCCCGGGGCTGCTCCAACGGGGACTTCATGAACACCTTCGGCATCTTCCTGCAGGGCCTGCTGGGAGTGGTGGCTTTTAGCACACTTATGTGTAAGTATAGGGCAACTGTCTTCATGAAATGGAAATTCATTGTCTCTTTATCTATTTTCTGAATGCATGTTGTAACGTTAGACAATGCTGGCTGTAATGCATTAGGCCAGTAAGGGTAAAGTAAGGGATTACACGTTTTGTTTTTTGGTTATTTAATGACTTGATGTAATTATGTTGAACACTGTTTAGACTAGAACAATTCTAGTGGATTTAAACGTCTAATGTTAAACTGTTTTTCATTTAACCGTCTCTTTTTAAATACTATGGTCTGTAATTATGAAAATTTAATATTATTTATTTGAAAAAAGCATGCCTATTTTTTTGTTGTTGTTGTTGTTCAACTGGTCGAGGTTGATATGGGATTTAGAAAGTAATGCAATCATTTTTAGGGCGAGTAATTACGTCAATCTAATCACACTGTTGAATATGTAGTTAGTTTTAGAGTAACTGATTGTTGATTCTATTGTGAACAATTCATTCATTGTTGATTCCATCAATCAATTACTAATGGACTAAATCAAGCCCTGCATTTGTTCTTGTTCGAGCAGCTATTTTTTTCCCTTGAATATATGTCATAATTGGGAAGAAATCCTAACTTCTGTTTCAGGCTAAGCTTAACCCAGAGATGGTCTTGTTTAAACTTTCCCCTGCAAGCTCATATTCATCTTCCTCCACTGAGTACAAAAGCCGTGTCTTAAAATTATCCAATGAACACATTTATTAACGTCAGAAATCTAGCAAGGTTATTTTCTTTTTTATAATTATTATCAAAAACATTGTTTTATGACCTTGGTCGTAAATTGCAATAAAACAAGTTCATGGAGGTGTGTGAGCATAATACACTGGCTGAGAGAGTGATGACAAATTTGACATCTTTATCTCTGACCATGACCAATATATTCAATATCTCAATGTTTTTTTCCCTTTTTGGGAATTCATAGAAATACTATTGTGGATTTTTTTTTTTTTTTGTGTGCTAATTTACATTCACTTATAGAAGTTTACTCAACTTCTTCTGAGAACCCTCGCCCTACATTTTTTCTTTTCTGATAATCTGTTACACATAGATGTACATCGATCGTAGTTTCAAAGAAAATATCTATTTCTTCCATCAATTCAGGCTGACTCATTGAAGACTTGAAGGTTTGGTCCTAGAAGCAGGCAGGACAAGACATGCAATGCTGTCACGGTATTTAATTAAAGACTGTGTGTGTGCACAATTACAGCCATCCACAAACCACGTATTGGATTTTCTTTGACTTCTGATTGGCCAAACCCTCTCAGATGGGTTCTTAGGTTGTGTTGGTCTTTCACAGACCCCTTTTGGACTCTCCTTGACATGAAAGAACCTACATCAGAAATACTAAAGGGTTACTTGCACAGAGAACAATAACATTAAATCACTATAAATTAAAAACATTTAATTAGAACAATGGAGTCAAACCCACAAAAGAGATCTTGCGATGTAAAAACATTGGGTCCCAGTGGCTGATAATTGCATGGATTACTTTGTATTTCTACACAAAGGAAAATTCTCGTGTAAAATGTTAACCTAATTCAGAACGTTCGTAACCTATTCTAATGTTAACAAATTTGGCATATTCTAAATTATTGACTGGCCGTGTGCCCGAGGTTAATAATATAAACGTCTCCATATAACCTTTCCTTTACAGCAGCAAACATAGAATTACTGGATTTCATCCATACATTTTTCATTAAATGTGACTGCACTTTTAGAGTTAGAGAGATTTATAAAATTATAGTTATCATTCTTGATGTGAAGGGACCTTAACAACTTAATAGGCAATAGCAATCCAGTAGAATGGGGTAAATCAAAAAAATATGAACGTGTGAAATTGTATGTCTTGTGTCAACTACTCAGTGGTTGTAATTGTAAAGAGTTGGAGATTGTGTTCAGGGGACACGTAGTTAATAGCCATACACAAACAAACAGCCATTGTGCGAAACAGGCTGTCCTTTATTTGTGTGAACTATTGAGTCACGTTTGGCAGCTAGGGTGGCTGCACTAGCGGTTTCCACTTCTCAATAAAGCAGCAATTCTCACCTCTTCTTTAAAAGCAACATTGTGCAACACTTTATTACCATACCGTGTTCTCCGAGGTCACTCATGATGCAATTTAAAAACTTTAAAAATCAGTTCATACACCTCGATTTTAATATCCTAAATTCTTAAATTGAAATTTTATTGCCATACTCTTTTATTGTTTCTTAGAAGAAAATCTTTTGCACAGGTTTATTTTTGCATGCGAGTGTTGGAAGCTCTTTAAACCCATAATGATGAAGCAGCTCCTCATTCATCTCTTCCCCTTTTGAAATGATAATGTTGTTTATCATTTATTGACCTGTGTCTTTATAGCACTATATCAGAGAGCCAGCAGAGTTTTTAGCATCAGCACTGCTCTCATATGGCAGATGTTATTGATCACCACATTCTTCCTGCTACCAATTTTGAAAGCTTCTGTTTTCTCTCCACAGTGAAACGCTTCAGGGAGCCCAAGCACGAACGGAGACCCTGGAGAATCTGGTAAACCGCCATTTCGTGTCATTAGCAAGCACTAGATACTTTAACACATTCACGGTAATGCTGCACTCCACTGACCTGAGATTCGTCTAGGGGCGCTCTTTGTAGCTCTGCGTTCCCCTCGTGATTTAACGGTGAGTTCTAACCAGGTCTCCTTCCTCTCACCGCCCCCTCCTCCTCCCCTTCACCTCTCTCAGGTTTCTGGACACCTCCAAACAGGCCATAGGGATGCTGTTCATTCACTTTGCCAATGTCTACCTGTCTGACCTCACAGAGGAGGACCCATGTTCACTGTGAGTCTGTGTTTGCGTCGTTGTCAATGCCCCCCCCCCCCCCCCACACACATCATTGTACTTCCCGCAGTGTTTTGTGTCTGTGATTTTTACATATTTATAATCTGCTGTGCTCAGCAACCCAACTCCCTGTGTTGATTCCATAGATACCTGATCAACTTCCTGTTGGATGCGACACTAGGCATGCTGGTAATCTATGGCGGCGTGAAGGCCGTTAGCGCTGTGGTTGAATGGAGACAGTGGGATTCACTGCGTTTTGGAGAATATGGTATGGACCTTAACACCATTTGTTTGGAGTAAATTAAAAGTCTTTTATTCCTTAACATTTAATTTCAGTGAATTTGAAATTATGATAGAAATCTTGTTCTTCACAGACTATAATGGCTGTCTGAAACCAAACAATCGGTCTAATCAATGACTTAACAGATTATTGGTTTTTTACTTGTTTTAGACTATCTTTCAAGGCACTGTATTCTCGTGTAATGATCTGAGCTTTAGGGGAAACCAAGCTCTATTGTTGGTAGAAAAGTGTATGAATTAAATAATCTTTTCAAAACTATTTTTTGTTTCGCCCAACAACTGCACTGCGCAACCCATTTATGATGATTTATGAAAAAATTCACGTTTTAAAGCAGTAATTCTCAACTTTTCACCCACAACAATATACAAAGGCCCTGTGACTTTCTAGTTTATTTTTATTTTTTTTGTGTGTTCTTTTTTTTTGGGGTTATTTCTAATTGGCTTGGCTTAACCAGAAAAATGTATGTTAATTTCATTTTAATAAAGATCTTTTAGTCTAGAAATCACTCTTTCATGTTTAGGCTTCCGGATTTTAAATCTTCTTGAGGAAGTTTGCTGGAATCCCCTGATTGAGAACCAGTGTTTTAAAGTGCTGTTCTATTTCGAATGTTTTTATGTAGGTGAGCCAGTTCAGTGCAGCGCCTGGACAGGTCAGTGTGCTCTCTACATCCTCATCATGATGTTTGAGAAGGTCATGATCATGCTGGTCCTTCTCATCCCACAATGGAAGAAGGTCAGTTAGGGTTCCAATACTAATGGATGATGAGTTGTGGTTTGTGCTTTATGTTAGAAAATGTATTATGTATCGTTATAGTACTGCTTTATCAACTTGCAGTTAAATTATTATTCCACCCAAAAATGTAATCATTGTTCTTAAACTATTTGATTGGTGTTTGTTGGACAGCTGGCTACACTCAACCCCATAACGAACCCTCATCTGGAGCTAGCTATCGTCATGCTAATCGTCCCGTTTTTTGTGAATGTAAGTCACCCTTGTTTCACTACTGTTTAAAAGTTTTTTGTTTTAGGTTTCTTATGCCTCAGCAAGGCTGCATTTTGATCCTTCAGACTATTGCCTTATTGCCTTATTCTACAAACCTTATGCTAATTGTCAGTCATCTTTGACAGTAGTGGTCCTGACAGAAATATCTTTACTGTCACTTTGATCAATTTAACACATATTGCGGTTTAAACCTTTGAATGGTTATGTCATCCAGCCTTGGTCATTTTGATGATATTGTGCATTTTTAAATGTAGTGTTTTGTATGTATTTTTTTTTTTTTTACCATGTTGGCTACTTGTCAAGCTTGCTCCAAGTCTAATAATTCATTAAATGTATGACAGGTAGTTCTGTTTCTGTTTTAACACCTCTATTTGTGTTTAAACATTTGCCCTGTGTGTGTATATTCAGGCTCTGATGTTCTGGGTGGTGGATAACTTCCTAATGAAGAAGAGCAGAACAAAAGCCAAACTGGAGGAGAGGGAAGCAGAAGACGACCCTCGCGGCAACAGCAAAGTGCGCTACAGAAGGGCACTGTCACACGATGACTCTGAATCAGAAGTAAGTTACTCTTGCTGAACCAATTTGAAGTGATAGCCATATAGCAGAAGGATTACTACCAGCTGTTAATTGAATGAAACTTTAATTAAATGAATTGCATAATTTGTGACATGAGCACCAGCGTTTCGAAACGATCTGGTTTAAATTGAATTCAATCACTTTGACCTGGGCCACATTCAAAAGTTTAACTATCACATTTCTATTGAAGTTTAGATGATTTGTGTTTCAACCACAGAATACATATTTGCATAAGTAAATAACTTATGACAAATTATTTTATTAATGGAATGTATACTTTCAACTATCAAAGTTTGAACATGATATCTGACGCTTTTGCTGCTTCTCAAACATCTTTGAATGGCAGCATTCATATTTTGGGTTTCCCCTGACCTACAGTGCCAACTTCAAAAACATCCCTCTTCCTGTCCTAGATGGGACATTCCCCTTTTCCCCTAGTACATTTTCATGACCATTACAGGAAACTTTGACAGTGAGTACAGTCACTTGAGTGTAGAATTTCCATCCACATACAATGTAGGTGTCAAATATATATTCATTGACATCTGTCATGTGACTGTAGTCCATCTTTCTCTCTTGTAAAGAGATGAGCAGCTCACTCAGAAATTAAGTGTTACAATTTTACACTTCAGATTTGCAAAAAGTGTTCCACTTTTTAGGGTAAAATGTCTTCACCTGCTTGTTTAAAAAAAAAAAAAGATGATTAGTTGAACTGTCTTTGTTTAGCACTCTTCCTCTTGTGCTGGTCAGATCCTGTTCTCCGCAGATGACGAAATGGAGGATTCAGATGGTGACGACGATGTACGAAGAATCACAGGGCTCAAGTCTGTTAAGAAAAAGAAGCATCGTCTTGGTATTCCAGTTTGAGTTCAAATCAGTTTGGACTTGAGGCCTCCCTCATTCCCATGACCCCAACTCATTTACCAGAGCATAGATCAGCAAGTGAGGGGCATGACTAACTCAGCCTTTGAATTGTAGGGTAACTGACCCAGGCTCCAGTAAACACATGGACCCTCCCGACATTGCTAGAAAGATTTTTTGCTACCCTATGCCATAGATGATCATGCGGTTTTTGGACCTGTCTATTGGGTATGATCGGACCATATTATTTTTTGTCTTTTTTTTTTTGCACATTTATAATTCTGCTTAACCATCATGTGGATATACAACACGGCTACATCTCCTTGTAAAACCAGCCTAAAACTATACAAATAACGTGCTGATGTTCTGCTGAGATAAGTACCTTTTAACCATATGCATGTGATTGATCACACTGACTTGGATAAACTGTTCATTGTCACTCATAGTCGGTTTCTAAATGTGTTTGTGAGCGTAGCTGCGACAGAGTTTTGTGCACGTCAGCTGTGTGGAAATTGTGCTGATAAATGTTACGGAAAACCATTCGTCAGCAGTGTTATGAGCTGGTATTATAATACAGTTGGTACGGTCTTACAATGTCTGTTTTTAACCATTAGGCAGCAGCCAAAATGATAAGGTACGAAAATCCAGAGAAAGCTGTTTTTATTCCCCTAGTCTGATGGCTTGTCTTACTGTTTGGCTTTTGAAAGTATATCGGTCTCAATTCAGTGTGTTGCTGTGTTTTTCTGCCTTTGTTTTTTCCCTGTATTTATTTGTTTTGGGGGTTTTTTGTGGCCTATTGAAGGGACAGTTCACCCTAAAATTATTTACTCACCCACATGACATTCCAAACCTGTATGACTTTCTTCTGTAGAACACATATTTTGAATAATGTTTCAGTCCAAAAAACATTTTGGATCCCATTGATTTTCAATGTATAAACGCAAAGACATTTAACATTTTCTAGCATTTCACAGAAGAGCGAAAGTCACGTGGCTTTGGAAGACTGTAAGGGTGACCAATCTATGATGTTTTTCATTTTTGGGTGAACTGTCCTTTAAAAATGTATTTCATTTTTGTTACTTGTTGCAGGACGTAACCTTTTGCACAGTTTGGTGTTACATTGTGGTCTCTTTGTATGCGGTATTACCTTTTTGTTTCTGTTTCTTTTTTCTTGTCTAAGCATTACCATTCACCTCTATGTAATATTTACCAGTCAAACACTAAACCAGTGTCTTTCTTCCAAATACTTTCTCATCCACCCTCACATGTTTCTGCTCTATAGAACATTTGATTTTATTTCAATACTAAAGCACAAATTTGGAGAATGGTGATATGCATTTTCTGTGAAGGGGAAGACATCTGTAGTTTTAGAGTGAGAGTGAATGAAATTTGGAGTGCAGGACCAATTATCTTATTGCTTGTATTGTTTAACTGACATTTAATGGACCAAGTTTGTGGGAGTACCATATTTGCACACAGTGTAGGTTTGTTTTACTGGGATGAATTGATACCTGGCTTTCTGGTCAGGCTTGCTGAATGAACACGCTTACTGATAGGGTTTTGATTTTGAATAAGTGGAACTGTAACTACCATTCCCTCTCTGGGTTTGATTCTGACTATTTTTAGAGAGTGGTCTTGATTAGAGTTGGAAGATAATGAAACAAATTGGATGTGGAGAGGGGTTGAGTACTAAACTATATTAGATGATTTAGAATTACTGACAAATTATGAACTTGTGTATGCTTTTTCAATAAACAGTGTCAACACAGCAATGCATGTTTATTTTATGATCGGTTTCTTTTTCTTTTCTTTTTTTTTGTTGACATTTTTATCCCTTGCAAAAGAATGCATCCTGTCCAGGAATTAAGCCCAATCCATTGCAGTGAGAGGGCTTAATCTTAACCTCTGATTCACAATGCAGTTATTTAACTTACCTTTAGCAGGATTTCCTCAGGGTCTTAAAAGTCTAAAATTTCAAAATCACAATTTAAAGCCTTAAAAAGTCTTAAATTTGCTGAAGTATTTAATTAAATTACTTTGCTAATAATTTTGAAACTCTGTGTTTCCTTTGTACATTTTTTTATGTTGTGATAGATCTTAAATTTCATTCATAATGGTCTCAAATTTGACTGTGAAACCTGCAGAAACCCTGTTTAGGAAACAAAATACACTAGCATTGTAATTTAGAGTATTTTAAATGGCATACTTCGTGTTTAATTTAAGACTTGTTAAAATAAAAAATAACTATAAAGTACATAAAATGAATTGTATTCGAATAGGGAAGTCTACATCTATAACAATAATAACAATTTTTTCCTCCTGCTGACTAAAAACTTTGAGAGCAAATCAGAATCCACCTAAACTCAAGCATGTGAAGTGGCCGACGAAGTAACTGCTGTGCTCTCGCATAATAACGAGATTGTGCATTATTATGGATGCTAACATATAGCTATCATTCATGGTTTGAACGGACCTTGATTCATATTCTGGATTTAACTTACTTTATGTCTTCCTCCTGAATGATATCAGGCACGTGAGTATCATCTGTTGGCTCCTCTGAGCTGTATGATGTCCCCTCTGAGGAATCCTCCATGCGTGGTCTTTTAATTGGTGTTGATGTGAATGAAGATTCGGATTTGAATGGGAAGTCCTCATCGGAGCAGGACACACTAGCACTAGTACTCCCAAAAGGTCTGACTTGAATTGCTGATGTGAAACCACACAAAAGGGAAAGCAAACTGGTGAAGCTCAACGCAAAACTTAATTCATAAATGAACTTAATTAAAAATGTTACCTTTACTCCTCCGTTTAGGCTTTTTTTGGGTGAGTACTGCTTGGACTGCCACACTCTTCAGAACCGGACCATTACATTGGCAGCCCACCTCTCGTGTCATTGGCTGATGGAGAGATGCAACAGTATAACAATGAGGCAATGCAAATATTTGTTCTAAAACTTTTTTGTTGCGCAAGCAACGGAACAGTGAACTATGGACATTGACTAAATATTCTACACATTTTAAAATGTTATCTGTACAACCTAGTGCAGCATTATTTGAATAAGATAAGCCATTGCACTTTATTAATTTTTGTGGTATATCCGATGTTAGAAGATGGTTCATATAATGGAAGTCAATGGTAACCAATGTATGGGTTTCTATATCTTCAAAATACCCTGCATGACGAAAAAAGTCAGTCATACAGGTTTGAAACGTCACGAAGGAGAGTTAAACAATGAAAGAACCCCCGTTTTGGGTGAACTGTCGCTTTAAAGACCGAAACGAACGTGGTTGGTCGTTCTACGTGTCAGTCAGACTCCCACTTCCGGCATCGGTGGGCGGGTCTTCGATCGAACAAAAGGAGATGTTGACCAGGATTACTACTTACCTTCACACTCGGTGTTGGACCAACAGTGTATATCGTCGGGATAGCCGTATCTATTAAGTTCAGATAGTCAGCAAAGCCCATTTGGTACTGCTGTAAATTTTTGAAGCATATTGGGGCAAAATGGCTCGCACACAATCGCGAGCTCTCCGATATTCCTCCTTCCTCAAAATGCAAAAATTCAAGCCAACGAGCTCGCAACCAGGGTAGTTTGGGGAAAGGGAATAGTGTATTGTGCGGATAACAACCTAAAACGCACCTTTTCACCATATCTATCGCTAGCTATGCTCGCTCACTGAAATCCGACGATTTAGTGACGGTTACGGGTTCTTTTCAGCTGTTTGTTTTAAAGAATCGGTTCGAAAGATCCAGTTCAAAAGACTCTCTTGCGTCATGACGTTGTTACGCCACTTAGCAGAGCAGTGCACTAGCAGGCAAAGAAAGGTCGTGTCAGAGGCGGAGAGCTTGATGATCGCATTTTGATGCTAATGTCACGCCTCAGAAGCTTCTGAAGAAAACAATACTTACTCGTGCGGGAGGGGAAGGGCCTACAGTGTACAGAGTGGGAACGGCAGTGTCTGCTAATGTAAGGTAACACGTTATCCCTGCAGTAACCATCCCTAAATTGGTGAAGAATTCATCTGAGAAATGCCTGTCACAAAGTCGGGAGCTGGCACAAATAGCCTCCTCTTCGAAATGTATAAACTCAAGCCACTTCTTTCGTAACCAGTTTGTGGTTGGGAAACAAAATAATGTCCGTGCGTTAGAACAGCCAAATACACAACGACGAACCATGATTAGTGAAGAGAAGCGAGATAATTTAGTGGGAGGGAACATTCCCTTTCTAGAGAGCATTTGATTGGACAAAAACATGTAGTGCTGGATGACTCATCAATATTTTGGTCTGTTTTCCTGGAAGAGGTCCCTTTTTTGTGTGTAAATGTAAACAAGTGGATTTTTGCATCCTTTTAATTTAATTCCACAGGGTCTATGGAAATAACTTTTACTGTAGCCTACCTTCTGATCACAGAGCAAAAAAGTTTCGTTCTTCCTCAGTGTGTCTTGTTTTCCAGTGCAATTGTCTAAAGATTCTTAACTCTTTCCCCGCCAAACACGGAATTTTCCGTGTTTAATGAAAAAACGCATCTGCGCCAAACACGGAATTTTCCGGGTATCCGTGTTTTAGGTGGTATACGGTAAGGAAGACCCGCGCGCATGTCCTGAATGATTGCGCAACTCTTTGATCAGAGAAACAGATTGCAATCGTCTCAAACAGTGGAGTAGTGAGAATGTATCAGACAGACAATGCAGAGGTATATGGCTGAAGTACTGGAGGTTAATGGACTCGGAGTCCGATCACTCTTTATTTGATCATTCTGAATCTGATCGGGACGAAGTAGTCAGTGAGAGAGATGCACATGTTGTCACAGAAAGTTCTAGCCATGGACGTGCCGCAGATAGATCGTATAATATTATGACACTATAATATGTATGTGTGTGTGCAGGCATTTATGTGTGGCTGTCTAAATATGAAGGTGTAATTGTCAAATTATTTCTCTCTTTGTGCACATTTACCACATTGTAATATGTATTTGTGTGTGTGTGTGTGTGTGTGTGTGTGTCTAGGCCTGTTATTGTAATTCCAATTATTCATTATTCACAGGTAGAACACAGAGAGGCAGAGGCAGAAGTTTTATTGCAAAAGTTACATTTCCCTTACATCCTGGGAAATTTGATATATTTTACATTTATTTTATGTTTTTAATTTATTTTGGAAAGTTTTATATATGAAGGAAACAACATCTGAATGTATTCTGCTTTTAAATGCACTTGTTTGATAAAAATACCTTTTTCTCAGTTTTTTGTCCAAAATGTTGTGTTTTTGACAAAACCTACCTCTGTTCAAGAGGCAATAAAAAAAGAACAGATGAAGATAAAATAAAAACGTTTTTTTTGCCTAAAAGCAGAGGCTCAGATCTTTATTTTTATATATATCATCTTCATATATTCATGGAAGAAAATATTCAGCGGGGCATTCAAATTTAGCGAAAATCGTCAAAAACCCTGGCGGTGGCTGGCAACTTTTTTTTAAAACGCTGGCGGGGAAAGAGTTAAAGGGTTAGTTCACCCAAAAATGAAAATTAAGTCATTAATTACTCACCCCCATGCTGTACCAACCCCGTAAGACCTTCGTTCGTCTTCGGAACACAAATGAAGATATTTTTGATTAAATTTGAGAGCTGTATAACTACCACATTGGCTGCCTAAGGGACTGCCTCTTGACGGCCCAGAAAGTCAATGAAGAAAATGTTTAAATATCCCAAGTGACTACCGTGGCTCAACTATATGTTTATCAAGCGACGCGAATACTTTTTGTGTATTCTCCAGATTTCCACGACGCATGCGCGAGAATTGCGATCTGCTTACACCAGCTTACACTACTTCAGATCGCAATTCTCGCGCATGCGTCGTGGAAATCTAAGGAAGTCTCGTTTCTGGCCTACAAGGAAGAAAAGAAATAGTCGAATAAACTCGTTATTTTTGTTTGTTTTTTTGCACAAAAAGTATTCGCGTCGCTTGATAAACATATAGTTGAGCCACGGTAGTCACTTGGGATATTTAAACATTTTCTTCATTGACTTTCTGGGCCGTCAAGAGGCAGTCCCTTAGGAGCCAATGTGGTAGTTATACAGCTCTCAAATTTAATCAAAAATATCTTCATTTGTGTTCCGAAGACGAACGAAGGTCTTACGGGGTTGGTACAGCATGGGGGTGAGTAATTAATGACTTAATTTTCATTTTTGGGTAAACTAACCCTTTAAATCAAGATACATTTACTTCAGATGCAAAATGACAAAATATGAAGTGAGTTTATCCTGAAAAAAGAACAAATATAGCCACAAGTGGCAATCATCAGGGTCCAAGGACTAATGGCCCATGTGGATAAATACTGATCCAATTTAAGTGCATCTTATGATTTAATAGCCAACGGGATTACCATAAATTAGGTACTTGAAATCAGATTAGATTAATATAATCAGACTACAGTTATTTTTATTGATTACATGTAGTTAAATGTTTTATTTTAATACATTTTAAAATAAAATCGATTTTATTTAACAAATTAGAATGGCAGATGTGTGTATATATATATATATATATAAAATCATACAAATTTGATTTGCTATTGGTACCACTTATTTCGAGGTATGGATATACCCAATACAAAGCAACCATCTCCAATTGACTATCAAAGTATTAATTTTGTTCGATTGTATTAAATAAGAGGCGATATGGTGCTGGAGTGCGTTTTTGAAATCTTGCTGAGCTTTCATTGCTAGTTCTGGTGAAATCACAAAACGCACAAATGTTTCCCAGCTCTTGATATACAATCACTGATGAACATATTTGGTTTAAAAAAACTAGGGTGGATCAGAACCCGGAACCTCTGACACGTTTAACATTCTTTTACCAGACCATTATAACACACGGACATCTATTGTTTTTCACCAACAAAGACTCTCAGGACAAATTATAGACTAGATGATGTTGGATGAAACGCTCAAAATAAAGATGACACGTTTTTTCTTGTGCATTTGTTATTGTGCATTTATGATTTAAACAACCCTGTTGGCACGGCCATGTTTTGTTAAGTATCATTAGAGGTTAAGTAATATTAGAGGATCTGAGACTGTTAGGATGCATCCCAATTTTCATCTTCACAGATCATATTGTTACAGAGCTATAATTATGGTTTAGTTGTAGTGTGGAATTGCTTTGCCATAACAGGAATCAATTGCAATTTAAGATATATCCAAATAGAAAATGTTTTTTTATTATTATTATTATTATTATTATTATTATTATTGTAATAATATTTTACAATGTTACTGTTTTTACAGTATTCCAGATCAAATAAATGCATAAGAGACTTCTTCCAACAACATTAAAAATATTTTTTGACCCCAACCAAAACCGTTACTGAAGATCTATTTTTATTGGTGCACACATAGCGATGGACCGACTCATTCACCAAGGCTGACTCACCACCCCAGAAAAGTATGTAATGATTTGGTTATATAATTTCCGTGGCATGTTAACATCTCCATCATCATGCACATTTTATCACAACAAGGTTTGTTTTGTTTTTTATTCCAATTATTAAGCATTACAATGATGAATTATATTGCTTATTGTTATGAAACAATTTGGTTTAGATTGACTTAATAGGGTTGACAGTATCAGCTATGTCAAAAATGACCTTTTTTCTCACAAATACAACTCCTTTGGTTTTAACTTTTAGCAACAAAATATATTTAAACAAATGATACATCAGTGAAGCAGGGATAGGAGGAGGTTGTTTTGTCTGTAATGTGTTCAGCTGTTCATAGTAGTCATCCTGAGAAAGAGGCTTTCTGACACTGACTGCCGATCTAATAATATATAATGATAAAAAGGGGGATGGGGGCACACTGTCCTGGCAACAAGGGTATAAAAGAGCCAGGACAAAAAGACAAAGTACACAACTTGACCAGAAACCGGACCGCAACCACCATACAGAATGTCTCAGGTATGAAGAAGTCTTTAATCGGTGTCTAGATTAGAAATAAAAGTATATGTGTAACAATTTAAGTGCCAACTGCTGCAGTGTTTCTCAATTTAAAAATGATATTTCTATCAGCCAGAGGTTAAGAAGAAGAAGCGGCCAGTTGTAAAAGAGGAGGATCTGAAAGGAGCACGCAGTAAACTGGGACTGAAAGGAGAGGTCAAGAGCAAGACATATGAGGTCATGATCGAGTGTGGTAAGTTTAACGTCATCTCCATCGAGTTTTGACAGTAAATAATAAACAAACTAGCTGTTATAGTTGATTAGATTAGGGGTAGTCTTTTTTGTGTACAAATAGTACAAGATTTCCAAGCATTGCTTAATCTCTTAAAGGTGTGTATGTTATTATTAAAAATAAATTTCCGTATGGAGAAAATTTATGGAGTATTTACTTCCGGAATCATACGGTTGCACACCATTGTGATTTGTTTTGCACTTCTCGGCCACCGTACTCTATACAACGGCAGACACGTGATCAGCCTTTGGCTTGGCTACGTTATCAAACAGCTAATAATGAATTGCTAATGTTAAACAAACATTGTGCCGGTTCGCCATAAGAGTCAGACAACTGCCTTCTAAAATTCTGCATTCTTAGAAATGCGTTGAATATCATATAAAGCCGGTGGAGAAACGCATACAGTTAATCCTAATAATATCGTAATAATAGACATCATATATGAGGTGCACTGTTTTTTACAGTCTATGGGTGCACTAAGTAACGTTGCAAAAATGGAAAGCGCCTTTTAAATAACGTTAACGTTACACACCACTGCAACATCTATTTTTAGCATGATAACACTGGTTAAATAGCATAAAACACAAGAAAAAGAAACTTACTGGTGAATATTGGTTCGTGCTGTCTCTGCTCCCAGAGTAAATTGAAGGAACCGCGTTGGGCTTTAATATAAGTTTACTAGCAAAACCCAACTTAGTCATGATAAAATTTTCAAAACAGTTCTCTGGAAAATGCCTGCTGCAAACATAGATCCTCGATGGAAGTTTTGCAGGGACGTTCCAGTTATTCCCAATAAACTGCACCCATTTAGATCGAAGTTTCTGATCATTTGGTAACACATGAAGGCTCACCATTTGCCCTTTCTGAGCTTTGCATCCGACAACAGAACATGTGTCAGCCATCAACATGAAAATAATGAACAATATCAACAGAAAGATATAACCTGGCTTCTCTTGAGACTCCTCTGCTTCCCGACAGTATTAAGCCCCGCCCCGCACGTTGACGTGATTTTCACTACAGGGGGTCTTTTAATAGTTTTTTTTTTTTTTTTAGTTACGACAATAACCCATAGACTGTAAAAAATAGCAATAACCCTGATTTTATGTAATGCATACTTGAATATAAGTAAACGAATGTGTGTTTGTGTTGTGTAGAGCGCATGGGGAAGGCGGCGCCGTCTGTTTTCAGTGGAGTGCGTTCTGGCGGAGAGACAGCGCTCGGGAAACCCAATCCTCCATCAGGAAGCGTGTTTGGCAAATGATTGAATGCTGAATAGACGAATGTCCACATCATGAATAATGTGTATATTGATGTTGCATATTTGCAAGTATTGCTGTATGTTTTTTTTTTTTTTTTTTTTTTTTTTTTACTGTTTGATGTTATATGTTCATATCAAATTGCACCTGAAACATTTTATGAGTTAGTTTCTAGCGTCATGTTTTCTATATAAAACATTTCTTAAAAGTATCACATGGTCACCCAGTATTCTTCTATCATGCCGTTTATGACTGCCATTTCAAACAATGAGAGCAAATATTACATCATCACATAGTGGTTTAATAAAAATCTTTGCTTCCTGTGCAGATTTGGGGAAGGGGAGTTGAGTAAAAATTAAAATAGATGCTCATTAAAGGATGTATACATAGTAGTAGGTAAACAAATAGTAAAGGTAAAAATAAATAGATATATTTGGGTGGTTCAGTATATCCATGAGACAGTTTTAAGACTGCAACAGCAAATTCTCAGAATCAACAAATGAAAAAAAAAAATCTTGCTCAAATGTACACACACCCACGCGCGCGCACACACACACACACACACACAGAGAGAGAGAGAGAGAGAGAGAGAGAGAGAGAGAGAGATTCACTGGTAAGACATGCAACAGCAAATTTTGAGAATATGCAAAAATAAATAAAAAATACAAAAGAGACTAACTCAAATGCGTGTGCACACAGAGAGAGAGAATTAACTTAATTAGCATTATTTTATGTTTATTTTTGTTCAATCATAAATGCTGTTCCCTTATGAAATTTTTATTACTTATTGAATAAAAAAAACATTTTATTGCAAAATATCTGTAAAGTGTTTGCGAATTATCATCACTAACCATCCCTTACTTTGTTCAGTTATTTGAATGATCAAATACTGAGTAACAAAAATGTCTGCATTGTGTTCCCTTTCTAACCAAATGCTATAGTTTGATTGTAATCATAATGCAAAACCTGATACTTATCTAAACATTTTGTTAAAAAAAATAAATTAGTTGTCTTTTAGAATATCTAAATGTATATCTAAATTAAAAAAAACGAATAAGATCATGTCTAAAACAACAACAGGAATCAAAAAGCCTTCCTATGTGTAGTCTATGTATCTTTTTTCCCCTTCTTTTTAATGTACTTTGTTATAGTATGGTATATATTATATATATATATAGTGCTATGGACCATTTTGTGTGTGTCCTGAGGTCCTGAATAAAAACGTGATCGATTGATTGATTGATATATAGGAAGCTATAGGCAGCATACAGGTTGTACAGGACATTGCATGTAACTATTTTTTAAAGCCACAACGTGGCGCTCTTCTACTTGAACATTTTTTTATTAAGCTGGCACTCTATTTTGATGTGAATTGTTGCATTTATTGAAAAAAAAAAATATATATATATATATATATATATTCTAATGGAAAATAGCTCTTAAAAATTATATAACTAATGCAAAGTATCATAAAAAAACTCTGAAATTCTAAATAATAATCAGAAAATATTATAGAACAAAAATATATTTGAACGGTTATCCTGGGAAAAAGTAAAGTTCAATTTTAAGGCTTCGTCCGTTTTTGACCGGGAGGAAGCTAAATGCAACCCATTACAAATAAGGCCAAAGGGTTATTGTGAGTGCTGCATGATATTGATAACAAGTGAACAATTTGAGCCTCTGATGTGGTCACTCCGTCATATCGTGCCACGCGCATTATGACCGCTGCTTCCCTCACGCGTTGTGAGCGCGCTGCTGACGTCACAGTGGGAGTGTTCCCTCAGGAGAAATTAACGGACATCAGCACAATTCTGTCTCAGCGCTCATGTAAGTTGTAACTGCAAAACGAAAACGTGTATGTTTTTGCCTTCCATACATTTCCAGAGTTAATTCGAAGCCGCCGCCGATATGTTGTAATTCGGTTTGTGGGGCTGGTCACAGTCGGTCAGTTTGTTAGCAGAGCTGTTAGCGAGCTAGTCGGTTTTAGCCTCTGTTGCTGATGACGTTAGCAGCCTAGCCGCGCGATGCTCTCTCAGAGCAGAGCACGCCACGAGATCAGGTGCAGCAAGTCAGACATCACCAAAACATACATTTACGTCAATACATCTCACTGTTTTATGAAATAACATAAATACTAATAGATTATATAGTAAACAGTACGGAGTGTTATATTGTAGCGTAACATACCTACACAAATAACTCTTAATTTAATGGGGGATTTGGAACAAACGTCAAAACCTTAATTGTATTAGTTTTCGGTAGATGAAAGTATCTTTCACGTGGATCAACATGATTTGAAAGTTTTGTCCAAAAAATCTTTGTTACAGTCACAAACTAAAGTCAGAATATCTTCATCACCATCGTAAAGAAAGTACAAGCATTACCAATTAGTTGACATGATGTATGTAAATCTTAAAGGGGATATTTGAAAGCAATCGTCCACTGAATATTAATATTATTCATTATTTTATATTTATATTAAACTAAAATGTAAAAGCTAAAAATGTATTGCCAATTGTTATATTGCAAATAATAGTTTAATATTGTGGAGGTAGTGGGTCTTCCAGGTAAGGAGTGCTTGTTGGTAAAATATAACGTTACTGTAGATAATTTTTAAGTGATAATTTGTAAATAATATCACGAACAGACGAATCCACCCACGCGCATATAAATATCTGATATGCTGCTGATATAAGGTCCCATCGCGTGGTGCCACCCAAACAAGCTCATTCGCGTGATCCGATGCTGATGATACTGTCGGCTGTCTGTCTCAATGACTTTGACAGGCGTTTACATGGAGTATATAATGTAACTTGCAGCCGGGTTTAAGGGTAGGTCGTTCTTCCTTCGGGCTTCCTTCCGTTTGGGCGCAATGTTTCCGATTTTTTTTAATCAGTCACTGCTGGTGATTGTGTGCAGCGGCGCGATATCGACCATCTAATAGTATTAGCCTGGGTTGGGCGTAAACTGTCCATTTACCAGCTAGCCGGGCAGCTAAGTCGGCTAGCAACAGCATCAACGGACAGTTCAGGAAAAGGATCGGATTAAATCAGTCTTCAGCCACATCCGTTTGTCTCACTAAGTGAAATGGGTTTGTATTCATGTTTTAACCCTCTGTGTTACATGTCATGGTGAAATCTGATAGTGACAGCTCGAGTTTATAATGGCACGACGAGAGCGTTAGCTTCATTCACTTAGCCAGTATTATGTATGTTGCTGTTTTTGACAGTCGTTTTGATCACTCCTTTTTTTTATTTTTTATTTTTATGAGCATGTAGGCCTGTTTGACCATCGGGTAGACCGCATGTAGCCTAAACCACCCCATCCGGTTGGTTGTAAAACCGTAGTCAACAATCATCTCTAATGTCTTGTTTTCTATATGCTTTCTGCGTGAAATTTCATTTGTATATATGTAGTCAAATTCTATCTGCTTGTTGTCATTTTGAACACTAGTGTTAATCATAATATACATGATGTGAATGTACTGTTTCTGGACAAGTCAGTGTTACCTCACTAAATTGTATGCATTTTCACTCTTTTCAGCATGTGATAATCCTACATTTATGAGGGGCAAGTTGACTGAAGTCTCACGAGGACAGTGACACAAGAGGGACTGTCATTGTCTATGAGGCAGTTCTGGATTTTGTCTTAGATTTATCCTCAGTATCAGATTTCGGTGTTGAGAAGACTGAGCAGGATGACTGGAACTGAAGGTATGGAGTTGTTTATGTCATTCACCACACAGTTTAATTCATGAACATCTCGTAACTAACGAATATTTTGCAAATTAAGTTATATGCCATCAGATAGATGCATTGGGAGTTATAAGGCCACTGTTGTCTGGTGTCCTGAATGTCTTGACTGTAGTGGAATGTATTATTGCTCAAAGGCACACATGCATGCAGACAGAGTGACGTGACCTTGGGAAGCTATGAGAATGGCACCAGATAATGGATACAGAATAGGCTGACCCATTTCGGCCACTGAAAATACAGTGCTTTTGAATTGCAATTTGTTCAGATGCATGGAATATCTAAAATATTTTTTTGATAAATGAGGGCACAGGGCAAAATGATAAGGATGTTTATTTAGCAGGACAAGTAGTTCAGATTTTCAGTAGCCTATTGCCAGTTTACCTATTTTTAGCAACAGGCTTAAATGTCAGAAATTTAGAAGTATTTTTAAAGTATATCTACGCAGTATCACACTAATAAAAGTGCTGTACTGCTGAGTATCTCAGGAAAATTCTGCAGGCCAAATACTTCATGTGTTAGTTCTCGATGGTCAAAAAAAAATAGTGGTACGTATGCGTGGGATAGTTGAAGTCTTAAAATATGTCTTTACATTTGAAGAGTTCAGATGCAAAAGCCTCTAAATGCCATTTGAAATTTTCTTCTTTAATGATGATTTTTATCAAACTTGTATATTTAAGTTCAGTGATTTCACTTAAATGGCAATGATAATTACCTATTAATTGTTATTTAAGTGAAATCACTGAACTTAAATATACAAGTTTGATAAAAATCATCATTAAAGAAGAAAATTTCAAATGGCATTTAGAGGCTTTTGTATCTGAACTCTTCATTTATCCTTGTGTCTTGTCAACAAAATGTATTTTGTTGGTACAACTAGCAAAAAGTATCATAGTGAAATTTTTACATTTGATTAGGTTACTACTGGTTTACATAATATATATATATATATATATATATATATATATATTAGTAGTAAATGGTACTGGAATTCAAAGTAACTTTCCATCTCTAGACATTAACATACACATTGTTTGTATTGCATCATCTTACAGTATTGTATTATTTGTATTGCAGGGAATAGATGCAGTGCTTTTTCGTTTTGGTACAATAAACAGTCTGAAGTCGTTTTCTAACTTGTCTATGTTTAGCTCTACTTTTATACAATTGGGGATGTATTTTAAGAAACCTATAAATGCATTTAAAAAAAGTTATTAAATCTGGTCGCAAAATTCACTTTTGAATCAAATCCAATGATTTATGAATCAAACTGACTGAACTCACCTGCCTTTGAGAGCGTGGCACTATCAACAGCAAGGTCAGGGATTGGTTTCCAGGTAAAGACACTTTGAATAAAAGCATCTGCCAAATGCAATGTAAAAGTACTATTCTTTGTCAACATAATGAAAAAAAATAATAAAATCTGAAACTTTCTGGAATACTCGACTCTAGAACGTTTAAGAGCTTTCACTTATTGTACTATGTCTTGTAACCTTTTGTGCCATGATGTTGGAGAGTTAAATATCAACTCAAAAATACTACAACAGACTGGTGACAAGAATGTGGCTCATACAAGTTATTGAAGGTACCATCATTTTTTGAGCTGATTGAACTGTTGTGAGTGCACCCCAGGGCGTTCTTGGGTGTGTGCAGGGCCTGTTAAACTGCTGTTGTGTTGAATATGATTGTGTTATAGAATAGCTGTGCCTGGTGCGTCACTCTGTCACTCGTCTGTTTAATTATGCATGTAGGACACAGACACACACATAATCAACACTCCTCTCCGGCTAATGCTTCACGGACATGACTGTTCATTCACAGTACTGTGTGTCACCTTGCTGTCATGCCACTCCCACAACTGCGGGATACTGTGTTTCTTAACTAATTAAGGTCAAGTTTGTTTACTGCTAAACTAGGTATGGATTTGTTTCCTGCTTTACTATGTGTGGGCTTGGGCTTTAGTTTAGTCTGGACCAACGTTGACATGTTTCTCGATTTCTGTTTGTGGGTGGTTGATCTTGATTGGGTTTCATTTTCTCAAGATGATTTTTGGCAGTGTCGCCTGTTTGCAAAGGGTAAGGAAAGATTTTTTCTTACCTTTTGTATATTTGTTTTTCTTACCCTTTGCGTTTTTGTTGTTTGAATTTTTCCCAGAACACTAAAGATGGTGAGGTTAAGAAGTACTGTATCCACTGGTACAATGTTGTTATATCCCAAATCCTACAGAAGGATTTGGGATATAACATCCCATTAATTTCCTACATCTTGAAGCTGATTTATATCTTTATTTTATTTTATTAGTTTTTAGATATACATACATATATGCATAGATCAACCCTCTACAGCAATAGAATCGCCATGGCTAGTAAATGTTTTAGTTTACTCGCCATGTGATTCCACCAAATTTGTATTGAATAGTATTATCTGAAGATCATTTTCACTCGCTGAAAACTGACTGAGCGCTTGAGAACTTCACTCTGTACAATCTGTATTATTTAAATTCAGCTAAATTGATGTGCAGCGTACCTGTATTTGACGTACCGTAAACTCTAGTGTGAAGGCGCATGACTCACCGTGCATTCGCAATGCTTCATGGGATAGTTATTTCCCTCATTAAAGCTGTTAAGTACACAGTCTTGTATCTTTGTTATTTATTTGATTTTAAATATATGTATATATATTTAATGTAACAAAGTTAATGACTATTTTTTTTTAATGACTAACTTTTTTTTTTAAATCACTATGGAAAAAATACTACTGGAGTCAAGATTGCAAAGATTGAGGAATTTTTTAGTAATCCAATTGAGAATTTACAACTGTTACTGTACCTCACAACTGTACTCTATGAAGAGTTGAAATTATTATGGTGTGCTGTGGTAATACAGTAAGATGGTTCACGAGTGTTAAAGTAAGCTGAATAAAGAGGATTAAATGGCTGTTATTCTCTCCATCTGAGGCCCATCTTAAGCCTGAGCTCCACCGTCAGACTCAACACATCTTGATTCAACTCCTGAAGCTCTGGCTCTGTTTTAAAAAAGGCTTATTTTGACTTCTCCTGCACTTTATTACACCGAATATCCTGTGTTTTTTTTTTTTTTGTTGTTGGGTTTTTTTTGGTACTTGAGTGCAATAAATTTTGGTTGAAAAATTGACAATCTCAATTCCCATGGAGAACAATCGTGATTCACATTTTAGCAAGAATTGTGCAGCCCTACTTCCTAATGCTTTTTATGCAACATTCACCATGTTATTTCCACAGGTAATGCACCATGACATCTAATGATGTAATCAAAAAGAATGTAAATGTAACCGGAAATGACTCAACTCAGCTGCCAAAATCATGCATCGTAATCCAAACATGAGCACACCCTTTTTTCATTGTCTGTATGTGTACCTTTGAAGTGAATGAATATCATTTGTGTGTCATAATGGGTTGAGTCTCATTTCACATCCATTTTTTTTCCACAGCCAACCCTAAACTGTGAGCCAGTGGCAGTCAGGCTGGACTAATGGTAAGAGATACTCTTTATCTTTCTCTAAACCTCTGTTAATCTGTATCATAATATCAATAAATGTCTTTAATATTTATTATATTGTTGTCCTGAAGAGCGTTTTGACATTCTAAACTGTTTCAAGCATATCCAAAACATATAAGCTGGACTGAATTTTAGATGTGTTGTGCTTGATGGATAAATGATTGGTTCAGAGGCACCTGGGGTTATAGTATTGCCTCGGTCGGCTCCACTGAGGGTTTGTCACCTAAGTTCACTTTTGTGTTTAACAACGTCAAACCCATCACTCATCATATCTACTCACCTTAGCTTTGTGTTAGGGCAGCACGATTAATGGAAATGAAACCAAAATTGCTACATGGCATAGTGCATGGCTTATCAAATCTCAAAATTGAATTAAATAAATATATGTACTGTGTGTTTAAGAGTGAAGCACTGCACTGTGTTCTTACATGTGAGCAGCTCATTATCCTGTTATTTGCAGCATCCCAGAACGGCTTGGGACTCAAAAGAGCTTGTCAACAAAAGAAAACTTTCAAGGGCTCTAGACAAATATTAATACTAACGTTTCAACGCCCATGTGTCTTCTTCAGAGGCTACTCTGAAGAAAACGCATGGGTGTCAGAACGTTAGTCATTCTGTACTAATAAAAATAATTAAAACATTCTGTGCTCCGGTCCTGCTCCTTGGTTAGACATTGGGTCCTTTTTATCATAATAGTAATTTTTGTTCTTTTTTTGTCACTTATATATATATAATTTTTTTTTTTCATAAACAATTTTTATAAGAAAAATCTGAATTGGATACCTCAAATCGTGCCGCCCTACTTTGCATTAATGCTTCTGACCGTATCCCAGGGGTTTTCATTACAGTATGATTGTTGATTATGATGATATTAAGGAATTTCTGCAATGATTTTCACTATGGGGTCTGAAAATGTGTAAAATGCTGTAAATGTGTTACTGTAGAAATGCTCTGTTGAGCCAGAGACCCTTTGAGCATTTCAGAAATTAGCACCCTCATGTTTTCTTTAGTTCTTTCATACCTCATTCGCTTGGCAAAACCCATGGCTATAGACTGCTAGTAGTCTGTCAATAGTGCTATTGCTAATGTAGTTTTATTTGGTTGGCTCAGAAGCGTCAAGGCGTGGCTTGTTTAATCCATGTCGACCTCTGCCATCACTCTCATTAATATATTGGCGAACATGATCATGAATGGAAATGAAATCTATCTGCGGCAGACTTTAGTTGAAAAAACATCAGCTGCATCTTTTTGCTTCTGAGCCAACCAATGCACTGCTTTTGTGATTTGAGCTCATATAGTTGTTGCTTGTGTTACATCGCTTACAGCTGCATGACATAATCCATTTTATTTTCCTTCTGTGGTAGACAAGCATGACTTTGCGCCAAACCACAGATGCATGTATGCTCTCAGAGTCCACCTGACTGCTGCCACTCTCTGCTTCCTGGCTTTTGAGACAGCCTATCAGAGGGCTGGTGGAGGCGGGGCTTAGCTAGACCCCACCCCTTTGCTGACCCTCTGAGTGAGGCTGGCACCTCCTGATGGACCAGGGTGGTAGCGAGCAGCCTGGGGCCGAGGAGCCAGACTCTGGGGGTCGAGCAGAGCGGGAGGTGAGCAGGAGGGCGTCCGAGCCTGATCACGGCCTGTCCAAAATTACTCACAATGCCTTGGAGAACATGGGTGCGCTGGGCCACGGTCTGAAGCAGTTCTTCCAACCTCAGCGCAGACGCTCGTCCGTCTCGCCACACGACTCCGTAGGCCCTATCCCTGAGCCCCCAGAAGTGGGGCCAGAGTTGGGGGAAGCGCCTGCCGTCTCTAACTCTGACCCCCACGCTTCCGCCCCCCCTGCAGCTCTGAGCCGCGTGCTGCAGCAGATTCGAGGCCCCCCCATAATGAAGAGAGGGACCAGTCTGCAGAGTCGCCGTAGCAAGGCAGGGGGGGGAGGGGAGCCCCCCCAGAAAGGCAGCCCCCAGATCCACAGGCGCAGTACCCAAGAGACCTTGCTGCAGGCAGGACGGCCGCGCTCCTCCTCCACCACTGATACACCCAGCAGCCCAGCTTTGGCAGACATGTTGGTGACCTCGGGGTACCACTCCACTGAAGAGTCTGATCGGGTAAGTGGCACCTGAACGTCACACTTTTGCCAAAGTCATTGTTGGTAGCAATCATCTTGCAAGGAGATCGTTCATTTCATTGACAAGTTTTGGACAAATATTTAGTGACGCTGGACACTATAAAAAAAAAATATATATATATATATGTTATGTTTAAACATATTTACATTTCCTTTAAAATTACTTTGTCAGTAACCCCTTTTTAATTATTATTGTTATATTCAATTGCTGTATTTTACAAATTTATGCCTTTTAAACTTCAAAATCCGTATTTGTGGGACATTTGGTATAGATTTATGCTTGCCAACTTTTTAAAGGGTGCTAATTATGTCCTTTTTTACAAGATCAAATATCAGTCTCAGGTGTCCCCAGAATATATCTGTGAAGTTTAAGCTCAAATTACGCCACTGATCACTTATTATACCATGCTATAAATGCCCCATTTTGGGTGGAGATTCTGTTGCTAGTTGTGGGCGAGGCCTGTTCTGTTGTGATGTCACAATGGAGTTCATTGCTGAACGGCTCATTTTGAGACACTGTTTCTGAATTATGGGGAAAATAACAAAAATATATATATTTTTATTATAACAGGGTGGTTTTGTAGTATGTTTTGCTATAAATGCCTCAATTTCCCATCAAAAGTTTTTTTAGAGTATAATTATAAGTAATTACTTACAACATTTTCATTTTTGGGTGAACTGTCCCTTTAACAGGCCATTAACAGGAAAAAAAATCCTTGCTGTTGAATCTACAAAGTATCCCAGCATGCCTTGCACATAATAGTAGTCATTGTGAGGATGTGATCAGTGTTCAATAGCAGGTGATATAGTAGGTTGTTTGAAAGCAATGGAAAGTCAGATTTGAATTTAACAGCAATCAGTGCCGATGGCAATCTGAAAGATTCTGTCTGAAAGAAACCTCCAGGATGGATGGACGGGGTGACAGCATTCACAGGTCAGGAAGCTTGTGTAGCAGGTCACTATGTTCTCTAAGCCTTGCTATATTTAGCCAAGTCTTTGGATGCACTTCAGTTCATGGTGCTTTTGCAGGCAGCAGCATTGAGTATAATGTCAAAATCAATGCATCTGTGCTCTTTTTCCAACCAGGATGTGGGATCAGGGTAACTCTTTGCTTTCTTGTGTCCTCAGGGATAGACTCAAGGTTAAGTTTGCTCATGCATGACAGGTGCAGCAACTTTATTTAGAATTGCAATTCGCATAGTTGCAAAACCAGTTACTCTTCTGCTCAGCATTTCTCCATTACTGGATGCATTATGCTTCTGCTTACTCAAAATAGCCATTAGGGTTCATTTACCAGGAGAAGTGTTCACCAAGCCTACTGTTTCTGAGGGTAATTAACTCTTATAGACGTTCCATACTCATAGTACTATGCTTTTAAGCATGCTGTTTTAAACAGCTAAGCATTTTCTCCAGATACAGGGTCTGGGTGACTGCCAACCTGTTTCAACTCCATGCTAGCGCTATCCTGAATGTTCCTCTCTCAGGGGAGTGTCCAAATTTATGTGAATTTGCTAGGGATGGTGTGCTTTTTTTTGTTTTCAAATTGAAAAGTTTAAATGCAAATGCATCTGCTATCTCCTATCTGTGGTTACAGTTTAGTTTTTACTGCTTAGTTTGTTGTCAGTGAAACTTGAGGCCAATGTATTTTGTCACAGAGAGGTAAGAAGCTTTAACTGCTTTGTTATTTTAACAGAACTGTCACTCCCAGATAAAGGGGGAGAAAATCCTCTCTTGTCTTGACCAGTTAGGTGCGAAAAAGGCGTCATAAGTCAGCTGTACTGTGGCTAACAGGCATCACCTGGGTCTTATCGAATGGGCTGTCGTCCACGTGATCGGATCACCTAGTTTTCCTGTGGCCACATAGCTGAGAAATCTACCCATGTGTTTATATCAGGTTGCAATAGGGAAACTTATCGTTGGCAGTAAACAACCTGACCTTACTGGCAATATATTTATATATTTTTTTCATGATAAAACAATGCTGGTGGGGCTCTTAGCCAGTTTATAATGACCGATGGATGCTTAGCTGTTTATCTACGATCAGTGAAGGCCATATCACTGATAATCTGGTTTCGACTTAGCTGTCAATGGGTGAAGGGACAGAGTTCATTTTATTGCAAGGTTGTACTAAAGATTTCACACTACTAAAGCTTACTTGACTTGTACTATTAATAAAAATAAAAAAGTACTGAAAGGATGGTAAAAAGAACTTTTAATTTTGTTTTTGTAAATGTTGGTTTCCTTGTAAATTTTCCTCAATTGATGATGTGGTGCAGTATGCCATTCTTTATCAGCGAATGCCCTGCATTATCTCAGAACTTTGAGGGCTATGTCATAGTACAGAGGTCCAAAACGTCAACGTCATTTGACTGGAGACCGATATAGTCACTTGCACAGTTCAAACGTGGCATGTCTTTCAAGATGGACTGCACTAAAAGTGAACCATCAATAATGGTAACTTAATCTAATCTTTCTATTCTTTTAGGAAAATAGTGCAAATTGTATTATTTTTCTCAAGTTAATCGTTTATTTGTCACTACTCTCTCTAGGGCTGGGTTATCGTCATAGTTCAATACATTGCAGTGCATAACAATAGCATACTTGGTTTAAATTACTTTTATGCATATTTAGATGACCTTCGTCATCATTAGTTGAACTGTAGAAAATTATTATGGATGCACAGATGTTAAAATTCTGACATAATTATTTTCATGTTAGGCCTGATATTAAAATTACATTTTGGGTTTTTTTCAGTTTTTTTCAGTTTTTTTTTTTGTCTTCAAATTTGTGAAAGGTTACATTAAACAGTGTTATTAAATTGTTAGTGCTTTAAAATATTAAGTATCTAATACTCACTAATACTTCAGTTAATCTAAATAAATTGTTTTAGAGATTATATAATTAGAGAAAAATAGGGGAAATCTGTAAAATGAATTACTAATATGACTATTGTGCATTCATTGAAAAGTCGTAACTAAATCTATAAATTAAAAAAAACATTTATACAAAGATCTAAATCATCAATGCAATAACATTAGAATTTGACTCTAAATACATGATTTTTTTTTTTTTTAAATCTCATTCTTTCCTTTGCAGCAGGATCGTTTGGAGGTTTTGGGCCCCGCCATGTCTCCCAATGCTCTGTCAACCAGTTCAGACGGTGGTCAGTACGGTGTGGATTCAATGGATGGCACCCCGGACCCTCAGCGCACCAAGCAGGCCATTGCTCAGCTACAGCAAAAGATCCTCAAACTCACAGAGCAGATCAAAATCGAACAAACGGCAAGAGACGACAATGTAGCCGAGTACCTGAAGCTGGCCAACAATGCAGACAAACAACAGAGTGCTCGCATCAAGCAAGTGTTTGAGAAGAAGAACCAGAAGTCTGCACAGACCATCCAGCAGCTGCAGAGGAAGCTGGAGCATTACCACCGCAAGCTCAGAGAGGTGGAGCACAATGGAATACCACGCCAGCCCAAAGATGTCCTGCGAGACATGCAACAGGGTCTGAAGGACGTGGGTGCCAAGGTAAAGGCCTCCCCATTTCTGTACTGTTTGGTACATTGAAGGATCTGTTTAGAAGTTCTTGGAGTAGATGTGTGCTGATCTGAAATGTTTTCATTTATTTTAGGGGATCAAACAGGACTTTTTAAGTTTTTCGTATGACACAGGCAGTGTAGACCAGTCTTGTACTCTGTCAGCAAGCCAGGTTTGGATTTTTTTTGTGATTGAAAGAGCTTAATGAAACATTGGTTTAACATAACCATTTTAAATTATGGAATCAAAAGAATGATCATGTTTAGTCATTAGCTCTCTTCTCAAACCTAGTGAGCTGTCTTGCTGCCTACACCCTACATATGCAGTTGCCTTCTAAAAGCTGGAAAAAAAGACTACTTTTGCCTAGAACGAATCCCCGATTTGGAGTCTTGACAAGTCGACGCTAGTTGCTGAAACCTAGAGCTAGTCTGCGAATTTTGGGCAGTCAGAGCGTACAGATTTTGCAGAAAATTGCGTAGACAGACTCTGATTTTTTTTTATTTATTTTTTTTTTATTTAACTTTAGACTATGATTCTGTCCAGTCTGAAGAAATTAAACGTTGGTGATATTTTGTGCAGATTTTAGAACAAACTGTTTTCTTTTGCTATATGCCAATGACTCGCGTCTCTTACCAACAAGGCACGTTTCTGTGCGAGTTTGTTGTGTTGTATGTGATCCTCTGTCATTTATTGGATGATGCCCAGTTTTTCTCTGTAAAGATTTACAAAGTTGTTTAAGTAGGTTGTTATAACCCTGAAATGAACTATTTCTGCCACAAAACCATTGTTACAGTTAGCATTTCCACATTAAATCTTTGCTGAATGTTGGTGATTTGTGGACTGGAACGCCTTCTATAACTTGTTTATTCATGGCACAATGCTTCTGGTTTCCACATCAGTGCTGTTTGATCTGATATGGTTTATAACAGAGAATTCTGCGCTGCATTTGAGTGCTTAGTTCTCATTATATCTCACAGTGATGCTAATTCTGCAGCAAATTCAATCGCTTTGTCAATGAATCTTCCTTTGCTGTGCAGTAATGGTGTCGCGTGATCAAAGATCGGCCTGCGAGTACCTTTTCTGAGTTTACACTGCGTTGTCTGTTATTGGTCCGAGCTGCTACACAGCTCAAAAGACAATACAAAACTGCACGAATTGTTTTGCTTTCATTCCATTTGTAGTCTGATCAGTTTTTCATACACATGGCAGCTCTTATCAGTTGGGCAATGTGGTGGTGGTTCTAGTCCGACCTTTAACAAAATCCACCCCAGGAAAAAAGGTTGTATGGCAATGACTTGCGATAACTGAATGATTTTTAATACTTCAAAAGGTAATGGAAAGTAACTGCTGAGAATTCTGGGATTGCATTCTATGAAAAGGATTCAATGTAATCTTTCTGCCTACCTTTCGGAACGGCCTACGTTTTGGAAGCGTGCCTATGGAGCTTTAAAATGCTTTCTGGGTAGGCGGCTCACTAGCTTTTGGAATAGAGCTTTGTTACCACTGTTTCCCTATTAGTTATTCTTTACTTTACAGGCACATTGGACCAGTTTACAATCCTAAATTAAAAACAAACCTCAGACTTTTCGGCTTTTTTCCCACTTCAAGTGACCGTGATTAAACCTATCCAGATAGGAAGTTCAAATGACACTGATAAATGTATTTGACTCAATCATGTTTTTTTTTTTCTCGCTCAGGTAACTGGTGGCCTCTCCAGTATCTCTCAGGCCACACACTCCGCCGCAGGAGCAGTCGTGTCCAAACCTCGTGAGTTTGCCTCTCTTATCCGCAACAAATTTGGAAGTGCAGACAACATCTCTGGCCTAAAAGATTCCCTGGATGAACAACAAGGGGATGAGCCTGTAACAAGTACTGGGATGGTAGGCACTAGGACCCCAGGACCTGGGCAGCTGCAGTCCAGCCCAAAATATGGAAGTGAGGAAGACTGCTCCAGCGCTACGTCAGGGTCCGCAGGAGCAAATAGCACCACAGGCGCTCCTGGAGGGCCTCCGAGCTCAAAGGGTAATACACTGGAGCATGGCCAGAGCTCTGGCTTTGATGCTCTGCTGCATGAGATCCAGGAACTGAAGGACAACCAGAATCGACTAGAAGAATCATTTGAAGACCTGAAGACTCACTATCACAGAGACTACACAGATATCATGCAGGCTCTGCAAGAGGAGAGATTCAGGTACATGTTACTATAGAAACTGACTCTACTGGCACTATTAAGTGGTCTATATAGGTTTCAAAGTTTTGCATGGATTTGAAAAGGTTTCACCGTCAAAACAGTATGCTTGTTTAGAAAGTATTGGAAAGGATGATTATGGTATTGTCTGGCCTATTAAGCCCCTTTCTTGAATTTATGTTGTTTTATCTTGTTTTGTATTTGTATGTGCTTGTGTAGGTGTGAGCGTTTAGAGGAGCAGTTGAATGATTTAACAGAACTGCATCAAAATGAGATTCTCAACTTGAAGCAAGAGCTGGCCAGCATGGAGGAGAAAATCGCTTACCAGTCTTATGAAAGAGCCAGAGACATACAGGTACTTATGTCCAACATCATATATACTTATATTATTTGCTTTTCTTTGTAGGTCATTTTAATTTCATTTCGTATAAAATGATTTAACGCCAGCCGCCCCAGACCTATGTAGGTCATCATTTCACACAGTTGATTGGTGACAAACATGATGCAGGGCAACAGCTCGCTGTGTGATGTCTATAGAATGCAGTAAGAAGGCCAATGAAATTCAAGATCAAGGCAAAAGTGCCTCTGTATGACTTTTTTTTTGGTATCATATTTATATTAAATGATATCGTTAATCCATATCACACCAGTGCAAAAGTTATTATTCTATTTTAGACATGATATTGTCTCTTTTGTTTTTGTCTCAGTTTTGCCAACAAAAATATTACCTGTATATAAAATATTAAAATAAGCCGCAACAGAACGGTTTTGCGTCTCCGAGCAAGTGAAAATATTTATAATTTTAAAAACATGTAATTGAGAGTGTTTTCATATTTTGGCAATAGTTTGCCCAAAAATCTAAATTCTGTTTATTTACATTTACTCATCCTTATATTTTTTCAAACCTGTATGACTTTCTATCTTTTGCGTAACATAAAGATCTTTTGAAGAATGTCAGTAACCAAACTCTTTTTGTCTGTAAATGTATCTAAATACCAATTCAGATCACTGATCACATCATGGCCAAACAATTATGTGTAATAAATCATTATGAATCAAATAAACATATTTCTTTCTAAAGCAATTTTTTGTCATGTCTACATTTGTCATTTGACACAATAATTAATTTAAATGATCTTTTGGGGTTAATTTCTCAGCCAAATCTGATTTGCAAATAAATAAATGAATCAATTAATTAATTGGCACATCATGTAATTATTTAGATTAAAAAATTGCAGTCGCTTGACAACCTAATTATTTATAATAATATAGTATTAGGGTTGTCAATCTAATTAATTGGTAATCACACATAAAATTTGCATGATAAATTCTTATTTATTGAACTGCTGTATAAAATCAATATCACATTTGCACTCATTTGATATTGCTTAACTATATCATATGATATAAATATGAGACGACAAAAATTATACTGAGGGGTTTTTGCTGTGTTATCTTGAATTTTTGGGGCCCTTTTACTGCATTCTATAGGCTCACGCAGCGAGCTATTGCCCTGCATCATGTTCGTCACCAATCAACTGTATGGAATGTAAGTTGACCTGCATAGGGGTGAGGTGGGGGTGTAAAATGGGTTAATTTGGGCAATTTTAAAATGGGGTAAAATGGGTTGATAATGGGGTAATTTTTAGTAATTAAAGTAAAATTATAAGTAATAAAATTAACATGTTCAATCAACAATATATATATGTATAATATATTATACAATATATACTCTGTATTTATTAGCGAAAAGGCTACATGCGTCATATTTGAGTTACATGTGTGTCTCAAACTCCATCTATGAATGTGCTTGGGTTGCTTATAATATTCATGTGGAAATGCAATGTGCGCCATTTCATCAGATTTGTAAGGTAAATCATTTATAAACTTATGCCATCACAGGATAACATTGTTTCTAACTATGCAAACTGTTCATTGCGATTTCAAAATAGGGGTTTGCGTGTTTTCATGTCCACATCTTCTTGTTCAAGAAATTACAGTGGATGTAGCATTTCTATCATAAAGAAGAGGCCTAATATTAAAGATCAAGTAAACATTTGAATTAAATATCGTTTGGCCAAAATTAAACAAGGATTTGATCTGCTGTAAAGTGTAACAACTCCAGCCCATTGGTGCAGGAATTAATTCTAATACATAATCTACATAAAATTATTGTTTATATATTATGTTGTTCTATGAAACCATATGATTACTTGCTTTTGATACCAAATAGCATTGCCTCATTGTTATTGTATATGTAAATGCTTATTTAAATATGTAATTCTCATCTCATGTTGATGGTTTTTATTAGAATACATCAAATCTAGTCATGCAGTCGCATATGGTTTAGACGCAAAAGTAAAAATACTCAAAAAAGCATCCATACTTCTCATTTTGGAAATGGATGACTTCCGGTGTGTCGTTTCGTCAGATGGCGGCTTTGCTCATAACATCTTTCTTGCTCAATGTTCCTGTAGGAGGCGCTGGAGGCCTGTCAGACGCGCATCTCTAAGATGGAGCTTCAACAGCAGCAACAACAAGTGGTTCAGTTGGAAGGTTTGGAAAACGCCACAGCACGCACTTTACTCGGCAAACTCATCAACGTGCTGCTGGCCGTCATGGCGGTACTCCTAGTGTTCGTTTCGACGGTTGCAAATTGTGTAGTACCACTGATGAAAACACGTAGCCGTACACTTTCCACATTGCTCCTTGTCATAATCTTGGCTTTCTTGTGGCGGAATTGGGAAGCCATGTCGCAGTACCTAGACCGATTTCTGCTGCACCCCAGATGACCTGCAGGGGCGCTGCTGTTTTTGTCATTTCATGAAGGGACTGGAGGGCGGGAATTCAAAGATTTTGATTCAAAGATGGAGACTAACACTGCCTCAGTTGCACTTAGTACAGAGGGATGAAGGGATGCAGCACAAGAGTGGTGGACGGACAAAACCTACAACCTCTTTGTTTTTTGTTTTTTTGTTTTTTTCTCTTTTTTTTCAACAAAGGAGTGAATTTGTTTACATTTTTATGATCTCTTTCTGTCTACATAAAGTTCTATTGCTGAATTTCCTATTATTTGTTGTTGGAAATGATGCAAGTCGTGTTCATTGTTCTCGTAATTGTTAGGATATACATTTATGCAATTTCCCGAGTGTTGAGTTGCGTTGACTTGACTGGAGTGGTTTTAACATGCACTGGATGGAGATCTCTCTCATCTTTTTAACACCTTATTGTGTCCCTCCTAACTTTAAAGCCGTGTTATTCATTTCTTTTAGTCTCTTCTGCTGTCGTCGTGCTCTTTCTCTTACGTGCATCTCTTAGCTCGGTTAATTTCCTGTGCTCATTTCTTCACTCACTCAAACCCGTTTGCTGCTGTTTGGAACTTCACTGCAGTTGTTGCTGAATGAAGGAAAATATGGATTCTGGTGGAGAGGAGGCATCTGGAGTTTGACCGAATGGGGTGAGCCGAGTTCCCCACCCCCCCTCTTCATTTTCGGCTCAATGCCCTCCTAGAGGCACACAGTCCCCTGGTATATGAACAGAACGAACATACTTGAAGAGCTAGAAATGCTCAAAGACTCTCAGTGCTTCCGTACTGTTTCTTATAGTGACGATGAAATAGTCCTTTTTAGTTTTTTTTTTATTTTTTAAAATGAAATTAATAAACACGCTGTTTTAAAATTACAATGTCGCGTAATTGAATATTTGTGCTTCTTTACAGCTGTAATGGACCCAGAGTACAGAAATGTACTTTCACTTTTCAGATTTTGAAGCACTGCCCTTCCAATGTGAGTTTCGCCGGGAAAGCTCGCTCTTGACGGAGACGCGAGTAAGGGACCATGTGGAAAGTGCACTTTTCTGACACGTTTGTTCAAACTCTGTATACAATTTTCAACACTTGACAAGCTATAATCCTGGTTATGGCCGTTCCGTTGTCGACAGTCTCATTTGACCAATCGCCGCAGATTCGCGTCACTCAAAGGAGGTGTTTGGGAAAATGAATCGTCGAACGAATCATTTGGGAGTCATTGAGCAAATCAGGTAAGCATAAATGCATATTATAAGACAAATAAAGTGTTTTTTATCCTTGCATGCACGTTAAACTGTTTTTGGGAACTCCTAAAACAAAAATAGGAACATTTCAAATGCTATGATAGGGGCTCTTTAAGAGAAAACATGGGGGGAAAACAGTATATTCACTCACTGAATTAATTAGATTTTCTTTTAGTGTTATAAAACACTGAATAATTAAGTGAAAAGACACTGTTATAATTATTCAGGTCATGTTAACATGGTGTTTAGATCTGTGCAGTGACTGAGCAGGAGAAGATCCAGCAAACACTGGGTCAGACAAGGATACTTGATTATTCCTACCTTCATTTCCTAACAGCTTCCTGTGAATGGCACAGTAACTAGTCTCCAATGTGAATGAACATTTTGAATATGCTAGAAGCAGAGGCTGCCATGATTCATCAACTAAGAGGAAACAGAAAAAAAAAATAATTAAAAGCTCACTCACCTCTTAGATTGAACTCACAGCAGCTTAACTTTAGCAAGCTGGAACCACTCTTAAAACCAACATGACATCATGACTTTTGCGTAAACATACACGCCACTTTCGAGTCAGGTGGCGTGTTATCTCTACGCATTTTGAGCTATCCGCGACGGTTAGGTTTAGGGACGGGGTTGAGGTAAGTCATATATTTATATAACGTTAAGTCAACGGCGTTCATAAACACGCTGAAAGGCGATTATGCGTCTTGATAGCACGCCAAAAATGGAAATACGAATTGGCGTGGCATACACACGCTACTTCATGAGATCAGTCTGCTTAAAACAATTCAAGTTAAGTTGTAGTCCACATTTCCCACTTTAAATTGACTACAGACTCTTGACTATAAACATTGCATACTGCAGAGTCTTATGCTTGTATACACCTGAAAATTCAGTCACGTTATGATATATAGGACTCAATGAGGTACAATAATTATTGTATTTATTATAAAGGTGTCACAGTACAACAATAAAAATTTCATTATGATACAAACAACACACATTTTAGTCAGGTGGTGGGACACATTAATATATACAGCGTCAAACAGAGAGAGAGATTCTAAAAAATGATTAATTAATGTATTTTATCCATTACACTCCAGTTAGATTCTGAAATCTACCTTTTGCACAATGTTTTGAGAAAATTATGCATGTTTGTGTTTAAAGCGCTTACAAAACCGTTTTGAGAGCAGTTGAGTTTGGACAACATTCAAATTGATTGGGGAAAAATGTAATATAGCCTAATGTAGTCTTGGACTATGTAAAACCATAACAAAGAAAGCAGATTTCTGTTAATCTGGTTTAAAGGGCCATTTTAGGACTAGTCCAAGGACCATCAACTCACCATTTAAACTGCCCTGTCAATCATCTTGTCAGAGTTAATCCTCAACATTCAATTTTATTCCCTACCATTTCTGAGAGAAATGTACCACATTAATCTGCCAGTATTGGTTTTTTATGTAGAATTCATGCATTTGCAGTTTGTACAATGATGCATTTAAAAGTTGATGACCAAATATATTCACAATGCTATTGCAGATGAAATATGTGGATAACATTGAATGAATATCTTGGTTAAATAGTGATAAATATTCACTCAAACCTCACTACTTAACCATCCACCATGTTAGTTGAACACTGTTTGACAAAAGCCGCTTTCCGACCAAGTAGTTACAGGAACTTAGTTATAGGAACTGTAAGTTTTTGAACACTTAGATTGTTCATGCCATGGAGCCACACTTTAATTTTTATGTGGAAAGAGTAGACGATCTGGTTATCTTTGAAATATTTCAACATACAATTTGGGACACAAATTCATTTAGGACAGGACAGGTAGTATGTGAAATTAATGTCCCAGCTAAGCATATGACACCTAGATCTCACAGCAGCACATGCATGACATTAAGCTTTTGGAGAACTCAACCTTGCTAGTAAGGTCCAGCGGGAGGAACGGCATAGCAATTAAGGAACCACTAAATAATTCAAAAAGCACTTTGACAGAATGTTACTCAATTTGTTCCACAGTCCTAGTCTTAGATTGAAAGACAAGACTAGACATAACCTTAAAAAAAAAAAATAAATAACCACTATTAGTGTCTCATGAAGTTTTATTAAGCACTACATAAGTAACTGAAATCTCTTCCGGGATCAATTGCCACTTTGGAATACCTCCACACTTACTCATCCCACTCATTCTTTGACCAGTAGATAGAGGATGACCAAACAGAAGACACAGATTTGGGGGATCATTTTTCCTAATGATACTAGGGCATGAATGGGTACTTAACACCAGGAGGCACTAAAGGTTGAAGGCCATAAAACTTTGGGTACAGTGGAGGATAACCTGCAAACTGGGTAGCGGTGTTTGTGGAAGGTTTAGTTGTTGCTTCAAGTGGTCTCTTGTAGTGGTACATATAGGGATGAAACATCAGGTACCTGGACTGTTGAGGTGCTACAGGGTAACCTCCAGAATTAAAGTAATACGGATCAAACATTGGCATAGGATACATTTGTTGGAACATTTGGTGGTCAGGGTCTTGAAGTGTAGTCGTCGTCGTCGTAGTAGGTGGCACAGTGGGCGGTACAGGTGTTACATCCGGGCGACCATGAGAATATGGAGGATACCGCCAGGGTCTTCCAACTGGGAAAGGGTAAAACATTTGTTGACTGTCAGTTGGGTCCTGGAGCGGTTCAATGGTTGTTGGGGCCAGTGTTGGTTGTGTCAAAGGGCAAGAAAGAGTCACTTCCCGGTCACCATACATCAAAGGGAGCTGCATATCAGTATCCTGAGGAAGACATGAACCAACTATATGTACAGTAGTTAACCTTTGAAGTGGATATAAACCTCCAAAGTTATACATGAATTTTGAACAATAGCCGTTCTTATAGGACAACTTTGATTAATTTTTAAAAGTTGACTACTGTAGTTGAATCAAACAAGGCACTCTGTTTTTATACCTTAATTTCCCAACAGCTTCCTGTGAATGGCGCAGTGACAACCAATGAACCGTCAACCGTCTCCAATGTGAGTGAACATTTCGAATATGCTAGAAGCAGAGGCTGCCATGATCCATCAACTAAGAGGAAAGAGAAATTTATTAAAAGCTCACTCACCTCTTAGATTAAACTCAAAGAATTAAGTGACTTGCCTTGAACTTTAACATTATCTGCTCTGACAGCAAGAGAAATAATCATTTCAGAAGGGAAGCAAGACACTGTGGGGAGGGGAGGACTCACAGGGCAAGACATTTGCACTGGAGCCCCCATTATAAAGAGTGGCAAAATATAACGCCCACACTGTTAGGAGATTTGGGAAGAAAAAATAATAGAAAACCATTATAATAAAAATCATGCAAGGCCCACTTCTCATTAGTTTGCTGCAGAGCTACAGTGCACTTGTCATCTTTAACATGCAGACTAACCTGTTGTCTGACATGACAGGCCTGGTATGAAGCATCAAGAGAAACATCTCTGCGTGCCCGCTTCAGTGAGAAACCACAGCTGTCTGGCATCTCAGTCAAAGGCACTGGTGACTCAACTCCTGATTAAGAAGTTTGAAAGATAAAAAAAAACATTCAAGTAATGTTTAAAATAAAAAAAGCCCTACACCTCCAAAACAACTTGCCTCGATCAACCAGAAAGTGTGGCATCCTTATTTGTCCTGGAATGCGCAATGTCATTGAATCATTTCCACATTGCACAAAGGGACCCAGACGTCGCAGCTTCTTTTTAGCAAGGTGGAACCGCTCTTAAAAACAATTCAAGTTAAGTTGTACTTCCCATTTAAAAGTAGATCCCTTTTTAAACTAAACTCAAATCACCTTCTTCATTTGACTGGTATTTGACAGATGGTTCTGCTGACCTCAGCCCAGATATTTCCATTTCTTTATCAGATACAACTTGAGCACCAATTAAAAGTTTGCCAAATTGGACAGTGTTTTCAGAGACTGCTCTGTAAGCAGCACCAGTTTCAGAAAAGGATGCAGGACTAGCCATTAAAGTCAACATAGTCACAGACATTGTGAAAAGTAAGATGCCCTTTGTCCAAGGCATGGTGAGTTTGTTGTACTACTCAACAAAACACCAAAAGGAAGAGAAAAACAAAACACACACAAAAAATATCCAAAATTACTATACAACTTTCGTCTATAAACATTGACAAGCTTATTCTTATTCTTCTTGACAAGCTTATTGAGACATAATGTGCTAGTTGTACTCACTTTTGAATCATTCGCTGATACAGGTTGACCAATCAAATCTATTCCTCTTCCTCAATCAACTTGTTGTTTTCACCTGTGCCTCATTAAGCTGAGAAAGAACTATACTGCAGAGTAGTTGCTATACTTGTTTGCTAATGAAAATTTAGTCAAGTAATGCCAAAATTGAAATTCAGAACATTTGGTGTCTTTGTTGATAGGTCTCAATAAGGTACAATAATCACTTTATTGTAATGCAGGATTCAGAGGTTTCACAGTATATAGGCAACAATAAACGTTTTATTGTATGATACAAATAGCATACAAATTTATGTGTTAATATATATACAGAGTCAAACAAAAATTGCTCATTAATGTATTTTATCCATTCCACTGTAGTTAAATAGTATAGATTATTGTGTCCATTTCCTATTTAAAAATATATAAATCTGCTATTTTGCATGTTGAAAGTGCTAAACTAAACGACTGACGTCACCTCCACTCGCAATGCTTGTGCAGTAATCTCTCAGTGACCCTTGGGATGGCCGTATCGTTCTCCCACACTTTTCTAATGTTCCCTGCGCCCAGTTGTTCCTGATTTCGGTTATTGTATTGGTTCAAATCTTGAAAAAATCATGTATTGGGTTTTGCGGATTTTTTGTTTTAGATTATGTCTCTCACAGTGGACATGCACATACGATGACAATTTCAGACCTCTCCATGATTTCTAACTGGGAGAACTTAGCAAAATAGCTGGGTGTTCAAATACTTATTTTCTTCACTGTAAATAAATAAAAACCATTCATGCATATCATGAGGTTTCATATTACATTGGCAACAATACGAATTTTATTGTATGATAAAAAATAACATTCACATTTTAGTCATGTGTCTGTCAACCAGAGAGAGCTGATTCAGTGAAAAAAGATTCAATCCATTACACTTTGGTTAAATAGTATACATTTTAAAATAAATCAAAAATAATACAAAAATCACATTATACAATACTATAGTTTCACACTATACAATACTTTAGTAGAATCACACTGTACAATTCTATAGTTCATTGTTTCAATTTCAAAACATATGAATATGCTATTTTGCATTTGGAAAGTGCTAAACTAAAAGATTGACTTCACCTCCACTTGCTATGCTTATGCAGTAATCTCAGTGACCCTTGGGATGGCCGTATCTCACTCCTTTTCTAATGTTCCCTGCACACAGTTATTCAAAAGTAACCTGATCCTATTTTGGTTATTGTATTGGTTCAAATCTTGAAAATGGGTTGTTCAAAAGAAAAAAGGGGGATCTGAAATCAGATAAGATCTCAAAATTCAATCTTGGTTTTGATTTGGATCAAATCATGAGTATGTTGTTAATTTTGTTTTAGTAACATTGGGATAGCTTTTAAAAAATCAGGATTATCCTGATCCCAGTAGAAGGGAACAAAAATATTAAAACTTTAAAACTTGTCAAACATTAGTATCATGTAATATATACACACATTTATATTTCTATTAATATATTAACATCAAAACTATAATGTGTTCTCTGTTGATCTGATAATACATTCAGCTGAAGATATAAAACCTCCTAAAACCCAGAAATAATATTTTTTAATCTATAATTTTTTCATACCATTACATTTTTATAAGAAACAAAAAATAAGTTTGTGTGATATTAAAATGTTATGCTATGTCCACTATAGTGGACACTGACAGGACTCAGTTGTTTAACAAATAAAATTACACGCATAGGCAAAAAAACAATGTTGTTGTTTTTTTTCTTTCATTTAATCAATTTTTAGGTTTCAGGATCTTTTTAATCAATCTTTGTATAAAAATGATTCTCAACAATTTTATGAAATATATAATGGAATTGATTCATACACAAATTTACTTTATTCAATAGATGGGTAAAATGGCCATACTAAATATACCGTAGTTCCATTCAGTGTATCTATACACTGTTTCTAATTTGCATATTAGGGCAACATGTGATAAAAGAGCTATTATTGTTAGATTTTATCATGGAAATAAATAAACAACATTTTCATAATAATATCTTGTATATCATAGGAATATTGATCAATAATTTCTTTCCCTATTTACTTGCTGTCTCCCAGAATCCCTGATAAACATACAAACTACAGAGGACATGTATGAAATCAATGCCCTGTTTTGTAACAAAGTTCTGATTAGAAACCCCATAACATTTTCCTGAGAAGTTGATTTAGTTGTTTGATTTGATTTGATTTTGAAATGTATAAATGAATAAGTCATTTTTAAAGACTATGGGGCATTTCTGTCATGGTGAAACTTCCAAACATTTGGTATCTCTGAAATGCCATGAATGTAGCCTGACTTCGTCATACTCATATTCTTGTCGGAATATGAGTCTGAAACCGCTCCGTAGGGCTTTGATTATGAGGCGTGTCTTAACCGAACCAGGAAAAAAAAAACTCTGCACTCAATTGGATAGTCGGTAGACCTACAACCAATCAGAGCAACGCAGTAAGTCAACTACTTTGCATACAGTTGTCAACTACAGAACTTACTTATTTTAGAAGTTAAATAACGAGTGTTGCTTCTTTTACTTGGTCCTCCATGAGTGCGACCAAAAGAGAAACCACAATGACCACAGGCTTTTCATTACGTCCCATCTTCTTAGCGACCATCGGAGCCAGCTGATAAGTTACACTTTTCCCGAATTATGTAGGAAGGACGGCAAAAATATCTTTCTGATCGACAAATGCCTTGATTGCAGTTTTCTGTTCGTCTATTAAATTGAATGTGCTGTCGATTTATTTCACAACAGACGCGACAGCGGAATCTATACATCTCAATTCTCCAGCTGCAGTCATCTTTGAGGGAAACCAGTTAAGCGCTCTTTGATAAGGTGATGATAACGTCCCTGCAGATCATCGTATAAAGCCCACCATGGCAATTTGATTGGCGTAAACATTTTTTGCCTGATCATAATTACTCCTCAATGGATCGAGTCCAGACCGAACTTCCCGACCAAAAAATGTTGTGGACGGGGTTCGGGCTGGCATCCAGGCTACCATGAATGTGCTCTTTTGGCTCGTTTCCACTGAGCGGTAAGGTACAGTACAGTTCGGTACGGTATGCAATTATTTGCGTTTCCACTGTCAAAAGTTGGGAATGGTACCAAAAAACCGAACCGTACCACTTTTGGGGTACCCTTCCGTTGGGGTACCTGGCACAGTGGTACGGTACTAAAAGGTGGAGCTAGACTCACTGCCGAACGGTGATTGGTTGACAGAGTATCGTCACTTGCGCGTGCTACAAGGGCATTAAGTTCTCTCAGGGGAGTTAGTACTCGAGCCAGTATCTTTGTTAGCTGGGGGGAGGGGTCACACAACATTATCACAGAGGGGTCCATCTGATCCCAAAGGTGACAAAAAAAATGATATCTCGATAAAGTTAATTAAAAAAATATTTTCTGAGACTACAGGTTCAAGCCTGTTGTGGAGAGCTGACTCACATCATATTCTGTGTGGTGGCAGTTAACAACAGTGACAGAAATACATGTTGTTCTTTACATAGCTAGCATCAAGTATTGTGAAATGTTCTGCATTTCGAGAAATGATTATCAAGATTTGGAAATCTGAAAAGTTGATTATCTCGGGGTGATTCAATACAATTTTGCCTTGAACAACTAGCACAAAACACTTAGGGGCAAGGCCCTTGAAGGCAGCATATTCATACACAGACAAACAGAGAGAAAGTTTCCAAAAATGACTAATTATTAATTTTTTATGTATTTTATCCATTAAACTCCAGTCAATGAGAATATAAGAATAACATTACTTAATTATTGTTTCCATTGTTTATTTAAAAATATATAAATGTGCTATTTTGCATGTGGAAAGTGCTAAAGTGCTAAACTTCTTAGTAGTTCAAAGACTAGAGAAGTCATCTCCACTCGCTATACTGATGCAGTCATTTTCCACAGTGACTCTTGGGATGATTGTATCTCTCTCCCACACTTTCCTAATGGTCTCTGGAGTCAAGGAAGCCAGGGGCTCAATCACAGACACTTCAGTATGTTGTATTGCAGTCCCAAGATGCTCAGGGGAGTTAGAACTCGAGCTAGTATCCAAAGCCCACCTATAGGCTTTGCTAGCTGTGGTAGTCGGTGACACAATATTTTCGAAGAGTGGTCCACCTGACCCCTCATTTTGGGTCCAGGAAGGTGAAGAAGGGGAGAAAAGGTTACCTACACCAAGCAAGTGGGCATGATGGAGGGCGTTGTCAATGCTATGATGGAGGTTGATGGGTGAAGGGGGATGAAGGTCAAACTCAATAAGTGAGAGAATGCACTCATGTTCTTGCCATTCCACAACGCTAGTCGACAGAGGAGAGGCATGGTGGTCGTAACTGTCGTTATACAGGACACCTCCACCAATAACTCCCACATTATCATGCACTGTCAAGATTGAGGTCGCTGGAGTTACATGGTTTCGGATCACCGACTGGCTGACATTTGTACGGGACTGCCTGTGACCTTTCCAGTTATTTGGCAACAGTTCAGCCCAGTTCTTATCCCGTCTCCACCAATGGCCCATTTGTAACCTGTCCAACAGCCTGTTCCCCCCATTCTTAGCTGTCTGCTTACTTCCTTGTGGTCTCCAGAACACCCTAGATCCCAGTAGTAGAAGAGAGAAACTCCAGGCCAGCTCAAACAGTCTTGCCGAGAGTTGCCCGAACCACCAGCCCCACCCAAATCTCCGCCAGTCACCAAGTAACCCATAAAGCCAGAGGACACTATAGATTTGCAGAGTGCAGGAAAACATCCCAAGGAGGGAGCACAGCAACAGTACGCGCCTGACACTGTTTTCTAAGCTTTTCGGAGCACTCCACCTTGTTAGAGCGGACCTGTGGGAGATGCAGAGGTGCTTTAGACACTGGAACAAGATTCCTAAACACATCAGTAACCCCCAGCAAATGGTAAATGACTGTAACATTAATGGCAGTGCTGGCAACAAAGTTTTGGATAGAAGGTCAGCCACCAGGAGGGAGATACAGTGCAGTGCTGCCAGTCCCCCAGTCACTGAAAGCCGTTGAGGTGATGTTTCTTCCCTCAGAGCAAAAAGTGCCAAGGTGACATGGGCCCAGAGTAGTAAGGGAATTGGTAAATTATACAAAGCAGTGAGGGCAGGGCGAGGCAGAATGTTTCTGGTACCATACGGGTCAATTATGAGCTGTACAAATCGAAGCAGACCTGTTAGCAGAAGCAGAATGTTCGCAAGAGTGAATGTCTTGCAAAAGGGGTTGACCATATTAGTCCCACCGATCACTCCAAAAATTGCAGCAACCACCACCAACAGAAACAGTGCCGCTGAGCCAAACACATGGACCTCCCAAGCAAAGGTTAGTGTCCGTTTCAAATCCTCCCACTGTAGCCGGGTCACATTGCCACCGGTGGAGACCACGCATGGGCCTAGTATGCATGTACCTATGACACTAGATAGATCACTCGCTGTTAATGGTCCAAAAATACGTCCAAACCATTCTGGATTTTCGTAATCTATAATGAAAGTGGAGAACATTTTAGTTAGAACACTCAACAAGTTATTTTTCTCTTATAAAAGAGTGTAAAAGTTGTCTACTGTTTTAGTGGAAATGGCAATATTTATGACTACCTTTGTTTTTTGAGTTTGTGGCTCTGTTTTTTGCTTGCAAAACAGATGTAGTTGTGGACGATGACCCTACAGGTAAATCAGAGGTAGTCCCTTCATGACTCTCCATACCTAAATTTCATACAAATAATCACTGTTTCTTTCCTTGGTTTGCTAACATTGCTCTTTTTTATTTATTCAGAACTGACAGTGGTTTTTCAAAAAACAAAAGAAAACACTCACCAGTCTTTAATGGAGGTGTGGCTGCAGGCAGATGGCTGGTGACATGACGTTCCTCTCCCACCATGAGATTCTCAAATGACCCTTGGGTTGAGCCAGACTGCGTCATAAGCGTGCCATTGTGCCCTGATGTTTCAGGCTTTGTGATGGAACTTAAAATCTGTCTGAAAACATTATACTTTGTTTCTTGAGAAGTCTTCCAGTTTTCTTCGTTGTTTACCTCTGCATTTGTATTAAATGTCTCTAAATCCATATTGACTGGAAAGTTTTCAGTAGTGTTTTTCTCTGTAAATGGTTTGATGGTTGTCAACAAAGGCTGGTCTTTGTTCATTCTGTCATTCTGTTCATAATGTCTTTGTTTATTTATGTGGGTGTTTGTAGTCAACTGAACAACCACGGTGGACGTGGCTTCCGCGGGTGCACTGCTATTGTTTGCTAAAATGACATCTTCACCATCATCATCAATATACTGGGTTAGTTTTTGTGGAATTGGAGGGGAATGTAGAGCACCTAACTCTTCTACCTCAAAATCTTGTTTCTCGACTCCGTCTGAAACGAACATGTCCATCTCCAGTGGACCACTAGAGGGCATCATAACCTCAAGGCTCTGCTGAAGTCCACTTCCTTCCCCAGAGCCATCGTTTACACTAAAGTTGGGCCAAAGAGGTAAAAGCAAGTCTTTGGACAACGTATTGTCAACTCTTTCCTCATTCCAGTTTGAGTGATGTGTTGCGGGTACAGTTTTTGGAGAGCGATCAATTGCCTGAATACTCAGGTTGTTATGGTTTAAGGGTTGTGTTGAGTTAGTGCCAAGGGAAGTGACAGGTTTCTGGAGAAGAGGCAGTCCAAAAATCAGAGTGAGAAGCCAAGCCATTTCCAAAGGCTGTCGAGCAAAAACGGTAAACAACAGAATACAATAATTAAAAATAGCCCACTTTTAGAAGCTATATGCTTTTCAAAGTGAAAGTGAATAACATTCCCCAAATCAAATCTAGATAAATGTACAATATATTAATATAGGATGTAATTACGGGTTATAAAAAAAGGTTGAAAGTTTGGTCCTAAATTAGGTCACAACCTATGTTTAGGTCACAACCTAAGACTATGCAGTCAGTTACAATCATATTTGGCTATCACTTTTTAATTCTTTCTTTTTTATTTTTACTAAACTGGTGCTTCTTACAGCTTCTGTATTGTGCCATTTGTCAATTTATATTAAATTTTACAATGTATGTCAATAACTTTATTTTACTATATCTTTCAGTTTGTTTATAGCATACAAAATTTGCAAAAACAACTTTATAGCATTCTTGAGTGAACAGCATTCTTTAGTGAACATATATGACCTGCAATAATTTAAAAGGTTTACTAAAATTAAATAGCTTTAGGTGTGAAGGCTGTTACTGAAATTGACATATTACCTTTAAAAATATAGTGGCATCCTATATCGTTAATATATTTAAAATATAAAATATAACTACAATGATGACTCAAGAGCAACAAACAGCAAAATAACAAAAGAACAAAATAGAAAAGGTAACATCATCAAAAACTAGATTCAACTATTAATATTTATTTATTCCTATTGTTTTGAGACAGTAAATATTTGCTTAAATATTTGTGTAAATGTCTACCTTTCCAGCTTACTGTTGCTGGACTACCTTGTATGCAAAATTGACTACAACGATTTGTTAGAATTAAAACAGAAACTCCAAATACATCTCACAGAAGCCTTTAGACACTTACCTGTAGTTCCCGAGGTCAGCCGTAAAGTGAATATCACGGTTCTTTTCAGTGTTTCCCAGATCACTTTGAGGTATTACTGGTGCTGTCGTCGTTGAATGTTGTCTTAAAACTGCTGCATCTGTGTGCTGATGCTTATGGTGCTACCTGACGTTTCACTGTAATCTTGCTGCCATCTGGTTGATATCCTGCTGAACAGGGTTCTGATCCCCAATCCTAACAACAAAAGCTACAAACCTCAGGAGCTTTGAAATGTCAGTGTAACATTTAAATGAAATGATATCAATTCAAGACCATCTATAGTCTTTAAAAAATACAGGCAAAAATCTTTTTCAATGTTGTGTCTCTGTTCCTTTCTGGTATCACAGATGTGTAAAGGTAATCTCTTCAATATAAGGGATTTCAGTAAGACAATTAGTTCACTAAACCAGTCTGTTCCTAAGCATACTGAAAGCAAACACACACACAACATACATTTAAAAAATACCATCACACAGCTGGCATAATATATTTACCATGAAATATTATTCTGTCACATCTAATTTTTATTGTTTTATTTATTTAAATCACTAGTGCCGGTTCCCCTTTGCCAGTTCGACCATGTTAGACTAATACCCATCACTTACTTGGTTTTTGATGCTAACCTGCCATGTGAGGCTTAATGTGTTAGAGAAAACATGGCTTTAACCAGAACTTCTTTGAATGCCAAACACACTCACACACAAAACTACACAGAGAAGAGGTATTTTACCTTCTTAAAACATTCAAAGTACAAATATATACAAGTATATATATAATGCATTCATATACATCCATGTTGGTATAAGTTATTGGCTTGAGGTCTTTTCATAATTTTAAGGCATATATATATTGGGGCAGCTTGAACAGATGAGCTTGAGTGATGCTTTCATATACAGTATATATATATATATATATATATATATATATAAGCCTACAGTATATGAAAGCAGGGTATATTACAAAATATCTATAATGTTGTAAAAATGTCACAATATTCCAAGCAGTTTTTTTCTCTCATTTTATCCTTTTTTTAAATAGGCTACAGTGTGTTTGGCATGTGTTTGTTAACTTTAATTCTTGATTTTAAACATTGTCATAAATAGTTTAATGTGTAGCTCTTTGCAAAAATGAGGATATAGAATTAGGCTAGATATTTGATTTCACATAGGGGCCTACTGATCTTCTGATATTTATAAATGTGGTGTGCTAAGAAATAGTAAATTATTAAATGGCTTGTGGAGAGTTTTACATTTATCCAAATTATTGGACAAGGTCACTGTGGGGTTAAGAGAGAGACCGTGGGAATTAACTCTTTCTGAACTCAAAACAGTCATGTGTCATACGACTCACACCATATCTCATCCGGTCCACCTTAAGAGCTCAGTCAGGCAGGCTTTTGCAGGGCAACCAGGGGGAGGCCCTCACAGACACATGCTTAGCACTTTAAGGCGGACTGGAGCGAATAAAGCTTCGCTTAAAGGCACAAGCACGCTGAAATGACATAGCCTGTAACGTACTGAATGACTTTTTTTTTTTTTACAACTTAATCTCGCTCTGTACGTAGCATACATTATGACACGCAATGTATTTATAATAGGCTACATAAAGTATATATATTTTTTCAATTGATTTTGAAGTCAGTCTTTTCTAACTTATTTCTTGAAAATGACTCTCATTAATAAAGGCAACGTATTATAGAATGCAATCATAAGCAGTTGTTCCACAGAAAGTATGGAAAACAAACATTTTGGGGCGCCTAATTTACAGCCTTTATAATTTGTTTAATCAAATTAGTGTATTTATACCAAAATCATAGCAATGGCAGCGCAGTAGGTCTGTATTTTATGTTACAGTGAAGCCGTTAACATAAAGAGCCATACAGAGCGAATGCGCGCACCCGTGCAGGTTGCTGACGAGCTGAAACTAGTGTTGCCATGTCCGCTACACTATGATTGTGGACTGTTAAACCCTCCCAATAATATTAGATAATATTAGAATCATCATATTATTATTCATTATAATTATCAGTGGCTACCTGGTTGAGTTCATATTAATACTACTCCTACTATTACTAATAAATTTTTTATATATTCATCATTGTTAGAAAAGGTGTATTAAATGCATTTATCAATCACTTTATTACTGTAGTATTACTTTACAATTTCTATTTAATCATTAAAATAGAATTGCTAAATATTGTATTTTTAAGTTGTCTAAATAATTATTATTTATGATTTGTATCATTCATTCTTTTGTTATACGTTAAGTCGTGTTACAAATTCAATTGTTTCTCAGTTGATATTTGAGCAGAATGATTTTCTCCCAGCTCCATGATTTTCTTCTTCAACACTACAAACTTTAATTTTTTTAATTACTCATAAAGACATTGCATATAAATTTAAACAGTCGCGATCCGGCATGATCTGGCAACACTGTGCTCCGCGTTCATGGCATTGTGAATGTGCGTGCGGCAGCAGTGGAGCCGGAAGGGGGAGCTGCGATTCCGTCCCCGCCTTCACGCTACAGGACAGCCCGGGGTCTCGCGCTGTCACAGCAGGCCTACTTCCGCCCGCACTATCGCAAACATCATTATTAAAAAAAATAACATTTACAGCCTTCCAAGCCGTCCAAGCAGCGCGTTTGTGTATTTTTCAATACGGTAGGACATATTTGCATTCGGCCGCAGCGGGGTTTTAACCGTTTCATTTATGTGTGTAGCAGAATAAGCACACGTCACGACATAAATCGCACTTAAATAAAGACAAATGTGTTTGAGTGCAAAAATAACGAGATATAGCGAAGCAAACGGACCTCACATGTGCACGGTCAGATTTAGTTGAGCTTTAGTGGGGTTTTTGTTTTTTGAACGGCGTGTTTTGGCGGAAATTGCTTTGGCTTTTATTTAAGGTAGCATGGGAGGATTAGCACGCGAGCTCACGCTAGCCATTCAACTGCGCGCGCGTTGCCGCATTTACAATGGGAATAACAGCTAATGTCACATAGCAGCATTTCATAAATATATTTTGATGCCGTAATCCAAGTTCTTTCACATTTTTTGTAGTTTCGAAGTTTCATTTGACAAAGGGTAGCGAGTTAGCATCGATGCTAGCATATTTTCTAGGCAAAAGCACTGACTGAATGGTCCAGAATGCGATTGACCATAAACAGAGCTAGTTTACAGTCACATCTTAATTATCCTCATGTCTCCGGATTCAAAAAGGTAATATTTGATTGTTCAGAATTTAGTTTGTGAGTTGAGAACAACCTCAATGCAACTAATTTATTTTGCTCGAGGGGGTCCAAAGTCCAGCAAGGTTAAAGGCTATTTCCACCTGAATGCTTAATACACAGAGCTCACTACTAAATCGCATAAAACATATTTTATTCACTAAACTTCAGTTTATACAGGTCTATCTAAACTGCACAGGGATGCATGCAGATTTCATGTTTATGGTTGGATTGGGTGCTGGTGGGTTATTCAGAATTAAATTAGATCCACATCATGTGGAGAGATTGTTCTGAATACTTCGTATGCCGATGTAGAACTAGCAGTGATACAAAATATCTTATTACTATTTATTATCTGTATTGACTTTTTTTTTTTAAACTTATAAGCTTTTTTCATGTTTATGTGCGTGGTTGCTTTTGATCTGTGAATAAATGCGTTCATTAATAATCTGTATAAACATAAATGCCAAAAATCATTAATAAATAGGGCTGTGTTATCCCAAAGAATGATAATGCTTTTAATTTAAGTGCTTCGAAGATCATGAGAAACATAAATGTGTTGTTGTTTTTTTTTCCTGTTATCATTTAAACCCCTTTCATTGTGTTGCAGGCTCCTGTGCAGGGTGGATTGACCTGTCATGAATGAGCCCATTGAAGGCGGTGCGATCTCGTTCGACGAGTATGTGCGGCAAAAGGCACGCACTATACCTCAGCACCGCATGAAAGAGTTTCTGGAGTCGCTGGCCTCCAAAGGCCCAGAGGTGCTGCAGGAGTTCAGTCAGCAGACCACCGGCACCACCACCACTATGGTGTACCAGCAGGGTGCCAACTGCATCTACACTGACAGCACAGAGGTGGCAGGGTCATTGTTGGAGCTGGCATGTCCGGTATGAATTAAATCACTTTTCCTTGTTTAAGTTGTGATATAAGAAGTTAAAAACTAGTAGTCACGTTTCTGTTTTATCTTTGCGCAGGTGCAGGTGACGTCTACACAGATCTCCCCCCAGCTGGCTGCAGCTGTGCATCAAGCATCTGAACAGCAGATCCAAGTACAGGTATAACTGTCTTTTCTGCATTTTATCTACTGGGCAATTAGACAGGCAAACTGTGGTTGTTTGATTAAAGTCTGCATGAAACTCAAGTTGTTGTGATAGTCTTTTTTTCCTTATTGTGACTAAGGGGGTTGATCGAAATTAAGTCACAATCTCAAACTTCGAATTAAAAAATGTAATCGTCGATGCTGCCACGCCCCCACGTCACGTCCAGCCGGCATGCCAAGCGGAAAAACACACGTGTTGAAGTCCCGCTAGTCAACCTCCTATAACTTCGCTACAGCCAGTCAAAAGATAGCATGGCAACTGCAGATGTTGGAGACCCATTGACAGAACTTGAACCCCCTACTCTTTCATTGAAGTCGCCGGAGTGAACGTTTTTTTGGATTTCCAGTGAGTTATGTTGACAACGTTCGTGCTTCAATAAAGCCACCGTTTGCAAGAATCATCAAATAATATGATGATTCTTAAAAATTAAGCACAACAACATTAAAAAATGTTTTTTTTTTTTTAACACTAAATCAGTTTTGTGTTCATTTTAAAAATATTTTTTTTTCTTTTACAAAAAATAAAAATACTCACCAATGTGAAAAAAAAATACTCACCAGCGGGTCACCCTTCTTGTTGTTCCCTGCTGTAAACTGCCTCTCCATCTCCTCATTGGCAGGTGCAGATCCAGGGTGAGCAGGGTCAGGTGCTTCAGGTGGCGTCTCCCACCCATCAGCAGCTACAAGGAATTACCACAACACAGCTGGTACAACAGGGAGAACTTACAGAGGAACAACACCAACAGGTAATGCACACCAAAACATGATCGCCTGCTACAGTTTATGCATTTTAGATTCATATTGTAACGTGGATGTGTTTCTCAGATCCAGGCCCAGCTAGTGGCAGCGGTTGCCGGAGGCCAGCAGATTCAAATTCAGACTGTGGAGGCTCTGTCCCCGCCTCAGCAGCAGGGCTCCCCCAGGGAGGTGGATAGACGATCTGGAGCCTCACCTGCTGTCCTCCAGCCTGCGAAGAAACGCAAGGTGGACGTTCCGACAGTCGTGTCCTACTCGCTTCCTCAAGGGCAGCAGCTGGCTACTGTACTGGCCATCCCACAGGGCCAACAGCAGGGCTACTTGTCACTTCGACCAGATCTGCTGACCGTTGACAGCACTCATCTCTACAGTACCACCGGTACCATCACAGGCCCAGCCGGTGAGACCTGGACCATACCCGTGTACTCGAGTCCACAGCAGCAAGGCGTGGCCCACATTGCCATACCTCAGGAGGCCTACAGCACCGTGCAGGTACAGGCCTCGCATACTGATAAAGACAAAGACAAGATGATAATTGGTGCGTCTCAGGCTGGCGGAGCAGTGGCCGTTCCAGTGTCTGGCTCGGGATTGACCACTCAGGAGGAAGTTGTACATTCGCTGTTCCCAGCGCAGTTTATGAATGGAAACATTCACATCCCTGTAGCAGTGCAGACTGTAGGGGGCACTTACTCTGGGACAACGCAGGCCCTTCATATATGGGATCCGCAGCAACAGCATCAGCACATACAGGATGGGGAGGCTCAGGAACAACAGCTCCACCTACAGGTAAACACATTCTAGGAGGAATCCTGCATGCTTAAGTATTCATAGCTCCCTGGCCGTCTCAAGTAATTTTGCAGTTTTTGGTGATGTACATTTAGCCGTACTGAAAAATGGAGAAACCTTCTTTGGAAAAGTAATGTCAATGATGATGTTCTGTGTTTATCAGGCACAGTCAGAGTCGGAGCCACAAGTGGAACCTCCTCCTGAGCTGATCCTCCCCAACACGCTGAAGCCTGAGGAAGGACTGGAGGTGTGGAGGCTTTGGGTTCAGCGCAAAAATGCTGAACTAGACAAGAATGAACAAAATAAGCTGGCACCTATTGGACGTGAGTTTGTTTCTGTCTTGAGCGAATCATGGCTAAATCTGGGTGATTATTTGTAATAGGGCTGCACAATTATTCTCAATAAAACTGTACGCGATTTGGCAAAGGCTGTGATTTATTTTATGTGCAGCTTGTCAGTGGAGCATGGCTGATCGGTAGTAAAAGCTGCTCCATCTGAGCGCCAGAAGGTGCTCTCTCGCAGACGAAAAATTACTACGCACATCATTCTTGGAAATCCCTATCGGGCATCATCGCTGTAACTGAATAAGCAGAAGATTGAAATTAAATACGACTAATAAATATTTCTGTCTAAGATGCCACACAGAAGGATTGCTCAACTGTCGTTATGAAGTGAGTTTGGAGTAAAAGCATGTTTTTAAATGTTGTCGTTTGTTGGTTCATAAATCCTTCTCATGTTTGGACGCATGTTGCTTTTTAAAATGCACGTTTTAAGTGACTCAAACCTACAGTGCTTTCAGATGGAACAGTGTTTACAGAGCCATACATCAATGACAAGCTGCGCATAAAAAATAATCACAGCCATTTCGATTTCAAAATGTTGATAAGCCAAATTGGTATTAGTGTGATTACATGGAAATTGCGATTAATCATGCAGCCCAAACTTGTATAAATGTTATATTAATAGTCCAGTATTTTAAGTTGTCCGTACAATATATAACAATACAATATAAAGGGTATGATTTTACCCCTAAATTCAGAATATTGACTCAAAATGATAACTGCATCCACGTTTCCATGAGTCCTGTTGTTTCTGTGAATTGCAGCAAATATGTTTTCTTATCTTTTCTGTAGCCTTTGGCAGTCTGTAAAAATATACCTCAGATTTCTTGTCAAATCAATTTGTACTGTCAATCACAAAACTCTTTCCTTTTTTAGATGTCTTTCAGTCTTTTTGCCACTGGGTGTAACCGCAGTCACTCCGGCCGACAGTGACATAATGTGCATATATACCCTCTATTAATAGTTCTTTCTTGTTTTAGTTTTCATGGTCACTAGAGTGTTTACGCATCTGTTTAAAATGTATTAATTTTTTATAGTCACTATTTAATTTCTAATATATCTTAAAGTATAGAAAAAGTAAACTTGTAAAAAATGCTGTTTGCTGTTTTCATGTATAAAGATGAATAGTGTAATTCATGAATTAATGCAGCTAAGAACTGTAACTAGAAAACAAGAGAAATTAATTACTTTTATTCTGCAATAAATTGACCAAAGGTGTCAGTAAAGACATTCATGTTACAAAAGATATCAAATAAATGCTATTTTTCTTTTGTTCTTTCTAGTCATCAGAGTTTCCTGAAAGAAAAATGTGACAAAAAATATAAATATTTAACATTGATAAAAAAAAATCTAACATGGTTTGAATGACAAATTAATAACTTTTATTTTTTATTTTAATATATTTCCAAATCTAATTTTAAATTGTAATATTTCACAAAATAAGAAATTTTCAACAACAGAAAAATAAACCTAACTAACCCCGAACTTTTGAACGGTTAAAACATAAAATATTTTTTTGTTGCAAAATTGCTTACTTTTTTTTTTTTTTTCTTCAAGTCTTAAATTTCATTCCCTTAAACTTGTCCATAGCCAAAACGGAACTATTTTTGTCAAGCCTCTAGTGATGTTTATTAATATCTGTCTCTGCAGGTCGACAGCCACTGCGCTTCCAGGATGATCTTGTCTCAAGTTCAGTGGGCGAGTTGAACTTGGCTCTGTCTCTGATGACCCAAGAGTCTCGTGGGCTGGAGGGGGAGCCGTTTGAGCCCGATTCACTATACTATGTATTTTTATGTATACAGAAAGTATGTTGTATTTCTCCTTATGTAATGCCTTTTTGTTTTTACTGATTCTGTTGGATCTTAATAAGCCGATTTCCTTTTCTTGTTTACGCTTAGTACATGTTTGAGAATGGTAGGGTAGACGACATCTTCTCTGATCAGTACTACAGCCGGTTTTGTCAGTGTTTACACAAAATTCTCGAGGAGTGGAGGCCTAGTGTTCACCCTCTTGGTAAGAAGATTTGAAATCATCTGCTTTGGAGTCTTGTGGAGTGTATGCTAATTTTCATTGTATTTGCCAGGCTATATTATCCCAAGTCATGTGACAGAGGAGATGCTATGGGAGTGTAAGCAGCTGGGAGCTCATTCTCCATCCACTCTCCTTACTACACTGATGTACTTCAACACCAAGTGTGTCTCCTTCCATTCTCAATTCTTTCAGCATGTTGGCAGTGAGTGTTCAGGGCTAAATGTTGTCTCTGCATAGGTACTTCCACTTGACCACAGTTGAGCAGCATCTGAAAGTGGCCTTCTCCAAAGTGCTCAGACACACCAAGAAGAACCCCACCAACCCTAAAGACAAGAGCACCAGCATCCGCTACCTGAAAGGAGTCGGTCCCCATCATGTTGGACAGAAAGGTTAGCCATTAAATAAGGCTGGATGTTGTCATGTTACAAGATAAATATTCATTTTAAACTGAAAGATGCATTCCATAACCTTTTTGGGTTAAAAATTATCCAAAACAAATTTGAGCAAGTACATCACCAGGCAGTGTTCAAAACTATCTGCTAGCTCGATTCAAAACGGTAAGCTTGTTTTTAATTCCAGTGGTACTGGTGGATTTCCACGGGAGATTTAAGCATGTCTTTGTGTCATTACGTCACATCTGTAAACACACATCTGTACGCAAAGGTGTCTCAGCTGGTAGGCTATATTGAAAAAAAAAAAAAAGACTGCACCCATGCGAAAACGAGGATAATATCGGAAGGACATTACATGTAGTAGTCATGCAATGCTGATGTTGTTAATATTAACAATTTGAAAACAAAATATATTATGACATGATATAAGCGACAAATCAAGATGTTGGGTGTGAGAACTCACCATTGGCAGAGCTCAATCCTAGTGGCGGGATAAATGGTTGTCTTTCAAATTCTCTGCATGCAATAGGATAGCGCTACAACCAACCAGAGCGTTTTCCCACCAGCGGAGCTTGTTGATCTATTAAACTTTTGCCGTATCTGGTCGACAAAACTATGAAAACATCTTCCTTTTTTAAGAATGACTTGAGTGTCGTTCTGAGCTTTCGCGGCCAAAGCCGATTTGAAAGACCACTGTTCGCCAGCAGAAGCAGCCGTTCTTAATTTTCAAGTAGCAGGAAACCGTCGCAACTGTCGTTATGTTAAGCCCACCCGCCGATTCTATACACGATGTGATTGGCCTGATTAGAGTTGGGTTTTTCCAGCTCGAAAGCCAACGGAGAGTTGCTAGACCACCCCGGTTGCAAAATAAAATTTGCTGCTGCTACGGTGCATCTAGATTTCTAGGCCGAGGCAGAGTCCACGTAAAATGGATAATTCCGTGGATAACTACAATTGCAGATTTCGAACAGAGATGGCGACAAAGAGGAAAAACTATGGACTGCAGCTTTCTGCATGCTGACATTCTTATGATTAACAATACATGTTAAATTGTTATTTATTACTCCAGTTTTCAGTGTCACATTATATTTCAGAAATCATTCTGATACGCAGATCAAGCAACATTTCTTATTATTATCAATGTTAAACAGTTGTGCTGCTTAATGTTTGTGGAAACTAGGGCTGTGCAGATAGATAATAGTATAGTGTATCTACAATAGTGAGAGATCTCTGATGCCTTTGACGAGATGATAATGCATATAATATAATTGAAAATATTGGTTAGAAATACATTTGTTTGTGTGATGTTTAATTTTACTGTGAACAACTTTACTGGGAAAAGTTATAGAAAGTCATTTAGTCATGATGAATGCATTGGTCAAAAGCTGTGGGAAGTCATAAATCTTTTTTTTTTTTCTAGTGACAGATGACATGTACGCAGAACAGGCTGAGGACCCAGAGAACCCGCTGCGTTGTCCTATCAAGCTCTATGACTTTTACCTCTTTAAATGGTGAGCCATTGATTTGATCAAATATGTTTATTATAATGTAACTTTCCTAATTTTCCTCTCCCTAATTTTTCTGTTGTCTGTCATCAGCCCTCAGACTGCCAAGGGCCGTAATGACACGTATTACCTGACACCAGAGCCGGTTGTGGCACCAAACAGCCCTATTTGGTACTCCACTCAGCCAATCACGAGCGAGCAACTGGAGCACATGCTAACACGCATCATGATGGTGCGGGAAATCCAGGAGATAATCTCCATTGCGCAGGCCAATGTACACTGAGAGAAGAAGAGGGCCAACGAAAGAAATCAAGATGGAACGAGAGAAAACGGCTTTCTCCAGCCTGCCATCATCCTCTCCTTTCTCAAAGAGACTGAATCAAGTTGCCTCTGCAGCCTCTCCTTATATTCGTTCATGATTAAAAGGAAAAGGTGAGGTCCAAGAGGGGTTTCAATGAACTGGACATACGTACGGGCCTTTTTTGTTTTAGATACAGGAACCTATTTCTGTTTGTTCGCCTAATGACCATTGAAACGTATTTCCCTTGATGTGTGCATTTTCTCTTTCTGCCATGTATGTTACGCTCCATAGTACCTCTTCCCTCTGTCCTCTCTGTTTAATTTCTGAGCTGTAAGGATCTGGTGGTTTTTTGAGACCACAGGCTAGACTGAAGTCATTTTCGGCAGTGGACTGGAATATACTATGTGATTGTCAGGTGAATTCACATTTAAAAACATTGGCTCATCAATCTGTAACGCCTAACACAACCCCCGCTCACCCTCAGGAGCTTGCAGTAGCAGAGTTCACGTACCTGAGGAGTGTATTATACATGAAGACTTTTTGGTTCTGTTTTTATTTTTTTTATATATATACATGCATCTATGGTAACCTGATATGTATTGATATTATAGTGGTGCTGGAGAATTGAAGCCTGTCTTTTCAAACATGCTTTTTTGTACAGTGAATTATCTGTATGTGTCGTCTTTGACCCATTCGGTCACACAAACACATTCATGATACAGAAGCAGAACATATTTCACACTTACACTAGTTCACAAAAGTACTTTCAAACAGTGGTTTTAAACCAGCGGGCTTTAGTTAACTTCCAAAATCATCATTTATAATAGAGCCAAAATGGAGTTAAAATAAACTAAAACATCTAAAACTAAAGATTTCTTATTTTAATTCACCCTCTCAACAGTTTGTTTTTCTTTGACGTCTTAAACCTTGGATATAGGATGAAGGAATTTTAGAGAAATTTGTATATTTATAAAACATTTTATTGTATAAAATGTAGTCCTGTGGCCTTCAAATATTGTGGTGGAGAATGTGAGTCAAAAAGGTTGAGAACCAATGTTTTAAATCCTACATATGAATATCAATACAATGAACATTATGAAAATTGTAGTCAAAATTTGCTTAAGATTAAATTTAACAGTGTTTTTGTCAGCATGAGATGATAATGAAGGTGAAACAAATGTAAGGAGTAATTAATCTAATATTGGCAGATGGTAGATTTAGATAGACCTCTAGTTTGTGCAGTCATTATGTACTCAAGTCTAACAGGTTGGGCAAAGATGTCATTTTTCTCCATAAATCATTTCCAATGATCTTTTATTACAAAGTCTGAATCTGAAACCAAAACAACAACAAAATATCCGGTTTGTACATGACCTTTTCTACAAAGGAAAATCCAATGTTTTCAAAAGTAGTTAATAGCTGTGTGATTCACTTCATTCTTTTTCTGGTAGTGGGATCTGTAGTCTCTTCAAGGAATTGGTGAAGTATTTAGGAAGGGGGCAGGACACTGTAATGTCGCCGTGACCTTTGACCCGTGGCAGAACGATCCTTCGGGAGTGCAGGTGAAGTGGGAGATATCGTGTTTTACTCTGGACCAGGCCCAGCCGTCGCAGTATGACCTCTGGCAGCTTCTGTAATCCGAAATATGAGACCCACATGTGGTAAGTCTTCAAATTTAACAATGAGTCATGTCTCAAGAAAACACTACACCACCTCTTGATTATTCATTATTAATGGTCCCCTGACATGGGGTTATTTGATTATTTTATAATGTTTCCTGGGTTGCCCTTATAAATGTTGGTATGTTTTTTTAGATCAAAAATAGTCATAATTTAATTTGATCGCTTTCTATTTCATTTGTTCACAATTTAAAAATGAATATTTTCATCCTACTAAAAGAAATGATGTGAAGTTGATATTTTAGTCACTGTCTTGACTACACATCAGAAATCGTTGCTTGATCGGTTTATTTTAAGACGTTCATCGAGGCCAGCTCTGTATTGGCCCAAGTTGAGGAAACAGTCGTCGGTGAAATGTTTGGACCATACAAAACTCTTCCGTATGACGTCATAAGGAGTAGATTCAAGATCAGCCCGTCTGAGCTTTCATTTTCTCAAAGGCAGAGAAAGATAACAAAATTTCTAGCCACTGGGGGACCATATACAGGCTAGGGGAACTCATAATAATGTTAAAAAACCTCAGAAAGTGAAAATTTCATGTCAGGGGACCTTTAACACAACACTCACTATGTTCATAATACTCTTGTAAAAGCTGGCCCATGATTTAACATGGTTGTGGCCCACTGTGGTTGTGTGCCAACAAGCTTGGATTATGCAACTGTTAATTAAAATATATGTGGTTTAAATGCTTTTTAATCTGGAAATACACTACCGTTCAAAAGTTTGGGGTCAGTAAGATTTTTTTGTAAGGGATAGTTAAAAGTAAAATAGTTCGCTTAAAAATGTATCATTTACTCACCCTCAAGTTGTTCTAAACCTGTATGAGTTTCTTTGTTGTGTTTAATAAAATCAAATCATTTGAAGAATATAGGTAATCAAACTGTTGCTAGACTCCATTGACTTCCATACTATAAAAATACTATGGAAGTCAAACGGTTTGGTTAGTGACATTCTTCAAAATAGCTTTTGTGTTCAACTGAAGAAAAAAATGGTACAGGTTGTGAACAAATATTCCTTTAAATTACTCAAAAAAGACAGTAAAGGCATTAATAAATAATGTTACAAAAAATTCTATTTAAAAAAAATGCTCTTTTTTCGAAATTTTTATTCATCAAAGAATCCTGAAAAAATCTATTGCGGTTTCCACAAAAATATTGAGCAGCACAACTGTTGACAACATTGAAAATAATAGGAAATATTTCTTAAGCAGCAAATCGGCATATCAGAATGATTTCTGAAAGATCATGTGACATTTAAGACTGGAGTAATGGGTGGGTGATGAATTCAGATTTGCAATGACAGGAAGAAATTAAATTTTAAATATTTTATACATATAAACAGTTATTTAAAAAATTTTCACTGTTTTTTAATCAAATAAATGCAGCCTTGGTGAGACTTCTTTCAAAAACATTAAGAAATCTTACCGACCACAAACTGTTGAATGGTAGAGCAGATTTGATTATCATTCAAGGAAGTAGTGCTACAACACTTGCTCTAACATTGTTATATGTATCATACCTGGGGTGCTAGTTTTTCCCAGTGAGCATATTTATGGTCTCCGAGAATGGGGCAGGTCAAAGCAAGAGCCATGTGCACTCGAAGTTGGTTTTTTACACCTAAAACAAACATTAAAAGAGGTTCTAGTCATCATATGCTTACATTTCTTCATTTAAATAAATAAAAAAAATAATAATTCAGAATAACGTTCCGAGTCGGATATGCTTTCACACGTCATGGTCAGTCAGTACCTGTGACGGGCTGCAGTTCCACCAAGCTGCAGCCACTGGTGCTGTCCAGAACCCGATACCGTGTGACTGCACTTTCTGCCTGCCGATGAGCTCTCACCCTGGTCAGTCCATCTCCCTCCTCGTTCACTTTAAACAATGGGCTCAGACCCATCTGAGCAGAATAAACATTATACTTCACAATAATTAAGATACTATTCTTTATAATACCTATATATGTACCTTTGTCTGGTTTTCAAATACTTTTTTGCTTCATATAAAACTTTGTAATTTTGTGATTCACTTCGTAACTGGTTGGCTTGGTTCATAGCTTATAACACTTTAACAAATACTTTAAAAAATGCCTATGGAAAACAATATATGGAAAAATACTTCCAGAACCAGTGCTGCTCAAGCCCTCGATTGGCTGCAAGCTCACATTCACATCTGCCTCCCTCCAATCATCATCCAATGGATAGAACCAAGCCCCACCCTACATTTTGATATTTTTTCACTACTCCGTCACAATACAGATTTTTTTTTTTAAATCTTATATTACTTCTCGACTGTAATAAATCAAATTTATTTTTTAAGCAGTCTTTAAAAACAGGTTACAATAGGAAATTGTTTTTATTAATACAATGTTATATTACCTTAAAATGCGGCTGTGGTCCCATGACCTCCTTCTCTATAATGGGAATGTCAATCACTCCCTCGGATGGAACAGGCACACCTACGGTGACTGCCCTGAACAAAATAATATGTTTAAGTTACATGGGACATGGGAAACAATTGAAAATAAGGAAAAAAATGTTGCACTAGAAGTTGATGAGATGCTACACTGCCTTACTATCAAATTAGCCTTTCAGAAAACTATTATTCTAAATTGCATTCAACTAAGACAAGCAACAACAACAACAACAACAAAAAGGTTTTAAAGTTTAACTTACAAGAATGTCCTTTCCACTTTGTGTGATCTGATGAGCGTTTGTACATGTTCTGCTGCTTCCTCTGTTTTAGCCAGGATCAAAACTCCAGTATATTCCTTTTCCAGACTGTGGCAAAAGTGCAACGGTGATCCTGCCTGCATGCCATCAGTTATCTTGGCCAGCAAAGGCAGACACTCTGAAATGCTGTTTCTGATTCCACTTACATCTATAAGAATTGAGCAGGCAAATTAAGGATTATACGTCTTCAACACTGCATTAGCTGATATGAAATGTTTTTTTTTCGTACTTGTATTTTTATATAGAGCTAAATTAAATTGTGCATAAAATTAAAATTGAATATTATCTAATGCCATAAAATCCCATCAATATATAAAATAACATTACAAAATAATAAAAATGTTTTCAATAAATAACAATGAAACATAATATAGTACATTGTAAAAAAAAGTCAAATACTCACTATGCAAAGGCACACCATATGGTTTATTTATGGCGATTATGTGTTGGTCTTCATAAAGCATGCTCCTGTAAAGAGCTTTTGCGAGGACACTAGGGTGAATAGTCTGCAGTTGTTGAGAGAACTGTTTGAGTTCATTCACTCTGTTCTGTAGAGGTGACACCGGAACCTTTGGAGTGGAACGAAAAAAGACGGAACCTAAATGGTTGGACACAGAAACTCACTTTAGTCTAAACAGAAAATACATGCATAAACAACGAAGCCAACCTCATTTTTGTTATCTATCCGTTTTTCTTGTTCACTCCGGAGTCTGCTCGCGATATCTGCTGCTTTCAGTCCGGTTTTCCGGTTAGAAGCGAGGGTCTCGGTCTTTGAAGCTGTGGCGTACGCTCTCTTGAGCATCGTATATGTCACCTCACGTGCGTGTCGCATTTTCACAGATCAGCAGTTCAAAAGTAACTCTCTTGCTAAAAACCCGCGCCCCGAGATCTTACATAATTCATTTCTGTATACATCCGATTAAAAATTCGAGTATGACAGCTAAAGCCGAGTAATCAAGTGAACAATAAACACATACGTAACACATGAGCAAGAAGAAGAAGCAATGCACAACAGTTCAAAATAAAAGTCGCTATTGGCAGAGATGTTTCAAATGTTTTGATTCACTGACATCAGCTCAGTCATTCGTTCCGGAATCTAATTATACTGGTTGATCCATTAAAAATAACATCCTCAAAAGAGTCATTTGTTCTGGATAAGATTTCGATTCATTAAAAAAATAAAAAATAGGTTGGTGCTGTTTGCTATATTCAATTCATGAATCTTCCGGCTCAGATCAAGCATTAAATAAATATTTAAACCCTCTGCAAACGACAAAGTATGCTTCTGAGACATTTGTCCAATTTCGATTCACCCCAAGGAAAAAAAAAAGCATTAGAGTAGTGGATTAGCCTACATGCAAATTAGTACAGTATAAAATAAAAGTTATTGGGCAAAATAAATTATATTACTTAAAAATACCAAACTAACAAAGCTATTGACTTATAGGCTATATTTTACTCACAAAATGTTTAAATTGGATCATAGGAGTCATTCATTTCAAGAATCAGACTACACTGATTTTCTAATTCACCAAAAATAACCACTCATAAGAGTAATAAAAACATGGAACTGGTTCTGAATGTGTTTTCAGCACTATTTGTCAGTAAATACTTGCAAAATGTATCATAATATGAACAGTAGCCTATTGGCTATTGTTTAGTTGGTCACTTTCTAAAAAAAAGCCTGAAATGGAAAAACAGGACGAATTCCTTCTAAAAATTATTTATTATATTATTATATATATCATTTAGCAATGCATACGAACCAGTCTGTAGTTAATTTTGAAATAAAAAGCGTGTGGTGTGTGAAGAAGAAAGAGAATCTATGTGTGCAGAGCATCTTTGGAGGGAGGGCTGCATTGAATAATGAATAATGGCTGGGTTTGTGCTCACAGCTGAGTGAATTAAACATGAAGCCAACACTAGCAAACTCACAGGTATGTTCTCTCTCTTTCTGTCTTTATACACATAAGTATTATCAGATTTAAACCTTTTTGTCCGTTAGATGCCCAGACAAAAGAAACCCACCCCCTGAAAAACTTTTTAAAGACTTAATACAGTACCTTTTCCTTCAATCAAATCTCATAAACCTCATGTAAAATCACAAAGACTGGTAGAGGTGCTTTACCATCTGAAATGGCTTTCAGGTAGCTGGTAAGGGCGTCTAAATGAACAGCCTGTCCTGCTGGTTGGGGGTCAGCAGCCGCCTGCACGGTATCTCATGTCAGCCCTGTGGAATTTGAGCTCTCACAGGCCGCTGGTTTATATGCTCCTATCAGGTCCTCGATGAGTGTGAGTGATAATGTGCCATTTCTTTTCACAAATGGAGCGTTAACTGCTTGTAGAAGAGCGAGACAGATAGATAATGTCCAGACTCTCACTTACAATACATTTTATTTCACACGAGAGCAAACCTACAGCATTATAATGCAGCTCATCACAGGTAACAGATGTTGTCATCCACTTTATACCCCATTAGGGCCACCGGTGATGGGTGAATAATACTAGATGGGTGGTGTGCTGGAACCCATCCCCTGACAGGTGTAATATTAGGCTACACATCGTCCTCAGTTCCGCAGATCGAGTTTCAAACAGGATTCCCCAGGTAAGATGCTTAAGGGGCGTTGATGTCATTATACGGAAGTGAGTTGGACCACACTGCTGGGCACAGATAGCAGTGCCACTGAAGACAATAGGAGGACAACGTGGGAGTTTCAACAGGAATTCGGACTGAGCTGGAGCATCACCGGGACTTGGGATGTCGCATCAGACTGGTATCCATGGTAAGCACAAGCAAATCTTTATTTCAATGCCCCACAGCCCAAATGGATTTATAATATTCGAGTAAAAGCACTTTATATTTTATTACTCTTCTCCTTTTAGTGATTGGGAAGCATTAATCTGTAATTTTTAGTTAGAAGTGCAATATGAACAAAGAAGATGTTTGGAATGACACATGTAAAAGCTCTAGATAAAACAATAGTCTAGTGCATCAAAACCTTGCGTTAACCTTTCTCAGATTTCCTTGGAGTCTATGTGCAAATGTACACATTTGAAGGCAAAGGGAATTGAATTACCTATTAAAAAACAAAACTTTAAATTGCCTGACTCTTGGTTTTAGCAAACAGACATTTGGTTACAGGGTATAGTCATTTAGTGGTATGTAATTATATTGGAGTGATCATATTAGACTGTGTTTTATGTGAATGATGATGGGAGGTAATTTAAGCTTACGGGCGGAAGCGCCGCTCCTCATCCATCTCACCTGCACCTACATCATTTATGAGTCCTGATGCCCCGTTGCCATGGTGAGGCCAAGAATGAGGCACAGGCCACACAGTGTGGAAGCAGTGTAACATTTCCTTTGTTTCAGTCAATTTTCTTTTTTTAAAAGTCCTCCAGTCGTATGTAAAGAATTTATAAAATATGATTTTCATTTTCGTTGTCAGTATTATAATAACTCTCAGTTTTAACCACTTTGTATTTTCCCTGCTGTATTGTCATACCTCTCTGCTGAAACCAGCATCTCCAGACTTGAGAGAGTTCCTCGTGAAGGCGAGAAGAGGAGCTGTCAGAGTGATGAAGATTGTAATAAGGAGCGGTGAGTAGGAGCATTTGTTTGTGAGAACTTCTATTTAAATACAATGAGGAGGGTTTTGGTTTGAGCTTTTATTTTTAATTTATGAATGTCATTGCATTAGATAAAATATCAAAACCATCTACAAGCAACAAATTATGCTAGACCTTTTTTGCAAGGTAATTTTAGTGGATGAATCAATGAAGTTAATACCCTTGTGAAAAATAAAACCTTGAAATTACTCTTTAAAGTTTATATATTTTACATGTTCTACATTGCAACTTAATGAGACAATAGAAGTAATTAGGAAGTTACATTAACCCCTCGTTATACAGATTAGGCTTCCCAGACTAAAATATATGTTTGAGCTGTTTTAACTGAAAGTGACTTGCACTGGTATATTTTAAAACATGTCAGTGTCATTGTTTTGTCTTAAGATTAACACCAATAATGTTTTTTTTTTTTTTTTCTGAGGCACATTTATGAAAACTTCTTATGGTCTAATCCTGGCTTAATTTAAAGGGATACTCCACTTTTTTGGGAAATAGGCTCATTTTACAACTCGCTCAGAGTTAAACATTTTACTGTTTTCTAATCCATTCAGCAGATTTTCTGATATTTGGAAGAATATCAGTAACCAGACAGTTTCTGGTCTCATTGACTTCCATAGTATATTTTTCATCCTACTATATGGAAGTCAATGAGACCAGAAACTGTCTGGTTACTGATAGTCTTCTAAATATCAGAAAATCCGCTGAATTGTTTCGAATGATCCTAGTTGTAAAATGATCCTATTTCCAAAAAAAAGTAGAGTATCCCTTTAAGCACAACTGTGAAACCAGATCAATAAAGATGTACTTACTTAGTCCTACTTAAGAGGGTCAAAAAGTCTGAAGTTCAGATAATTGCATTTTTTATTTATTAAAATGCAGTGAAAATTGGCAAGAAACAGAAGTTGCACTTGTCTTTTCTTTCCTATTGTGACGGTTATCTTATTGAAACGAATTCTCAAACAAGAAAAAATGTAGGGCGGGATTTTATTGTGTTAATCGGGAATTGATTGGATCTTTGGATGGTTGTAGTTTGCTATTGGTCGATCAAATGTGAGTGACAGTGCCTTCGGACCAGTAAACACATCATTAGAGAAAAGTGCAAGTGGGAGGGAAAGTTATTTTGATTTAATATTACGGCACCTGAATTAAAAAAATAATGATGAATCATTTACAATAAATATGACAATATTCCATAATAAAACAAAACAAGAATTTTCATTTCAGATAGAAAGTTTTCAGTTTTAATTCCATTGTCATTTTAACATGCAATTAAGTGTCCGGAAACATACATTCAGTTAATTCTTTTAAAGCATATTATGTCAGTAATAATAAGTACTCTTTTTTAGAAATCACACTTTAGTGTAATTCTTTTTCACAACTCATGATTACACAAACACGTGTTCATCATTTAGATTGTTTTATCATTTAAAACTAAACAACATTTGTGAGATGTTTTGTTTAAAACGTGTGCTTTCATATCTTTCTTTTATAATAAATGGCACTAGTTTTGATGTTTTTCGTATACTGCAAAAAACATATACAGTATGTACAGTATATATATATATATATATATATATATATATATATATATATATATATATGTGTGTGTGTGTGTGTGTGTGTGTGTGTGTGTGTTTGTGTGTGTATACATACACACACACATTTTTAAGAGTAACAGCTTAACAAATATATTTTAGTCACTTGCTGACCCAAAATAATGTCAAGTAAAAGGCGAAGATAAATTGGACTGTGGAATGTTATACATGCAGTGTGTGATAACAGTGGCACCATGCTGTTTTTGGACCCAGACTGATAGTCAGTGCATTTATCTGGGGCTACTGCAAGTAGTCAAGGTGTGTATGTGTGTGTATCTGTCTGTGTGTGTTTCAGAGCAGCTGGTGTTGGGAGGGTGCAGAGAGGTTTCTCAGAGCTGGGATCAGGACTATGACGCATGTGTCCTGCCCATGCTGGACGGCCTAGAACCCTGCTATATCCTTTTCCGCCTCGACTCACTGAACCAGCTGGGATATGAGTGGCTGTTTATCTCCTGGTCGCCAGACCAGTCACCAGTAAGTAGAAAACACATGATAAAGTGAAATGTGTGCACAAGCTCTCACCATCTCACTCTATGCCCCTCGGGTTTAAAATACTGTGAATTACCCTTCTGAGTGACACCGTTCATTCTACACCACACAGGTGAGGTTAAAGATGGTGTATGCTGCTACCAGAGCCACACTGAAGAAAGAGTTCGGGGGAAGTCACATAAATGATGAACTGTTCGGAACAGTCCAGGTGTGTAGACGGGTTTGATTGGCATGATTTTATTTGATAATTTTACCTGTATTATCTATAAACTAGTAATCAAGGGTGCTTCTACTACAACAGCTGAGGGAGTGACGGTTTATTGACTGAATCCTTCTAATTTTTTAATTCCATTTCCAATCAATCTATCTGTGTTTTCCCTTGGAAATGCTATCACGGTCGTAAATTTCCTTTTGGGAATGCAAAAATCATACCTAAAATTGACAAATCAAAATCAAGTAAACCAGAGAGTTCATCATTATGTGATGCCTGAATGTCACGACTGACAAATCAGAATAGAACTATAAGAGTTATGTGAAACAAATGATTTAATATGATCTAATAATTTGATATGGCTCCATGAAGAACCTTTAACATCCCACAAATGGTTCTTTACAGTGGAAAACGTTTAGAATCTTAAAATGTTCTTCACATTAAGAAAATAAACCTCTTGGAGACTTTATTTAAGAGTTTCGATTTTATTAGTGATCAAATTGTGATTTTTCTTTTTTACTGGGTTTACAACAGTAAACCTACTCACCTTTGCTCACTCACCTGAGCAAAAGTGAGAGAATATGATGAACTGTTTACTGTTGTGAACTGCAGGAAGACATCTGTTTCCAAGGTTATCTACGACATCTGTCCTCCTCCTCCATCCCGGCCCCCCTCACCACTGCTGAGCAACAACTCCATCAGATTAAAATAACTGAGGTGAGGAAGGCCCGAAATGTGTAAATCGCAGCATATCAAAACTGAGTATCTGTTTGTCTGACTTTACTGTCTAATAAATTTATGTATTGCTTAACAATGCACCTAACAGGACAGAGTGGCACGGGTAAGTGTCCTGTGATTCATTTTGTTTTCAAGTTAGTACTAGGCTACTAAGTGGATTTACACTAAACTTTTATACTTTTCTATTTAGGACGAGCGAAGACGAGTAGCCACTGTTAGTGGGCAAGCAAAGGTAGACTCGGCTCTCTAATCATTAAAATATTATTAGAAATATTGATGTTACAGAGTAAAAATATAAACTATTTTTATAAATAATAGCATGTGTGTGTGTGTGTCTTTCTGATACAGACAGAGATCAGCGTGGAGTGTAAAAATCCGACTTTACAGGGTTTGGCGTTCCCATTGCAAGAGGAGGCTAAACATGCTTTACAGCAACTTAAACACAAACGCATTAATTACATTCAACTAGTAAGTCCCACACACATACACTATACACACATGTATTTATTACACATGTATGTAGGTTTAAAAGCAAAATGTTTAGACTGCCACTTGTACACTCACCTGGATTATTAGGAACACCTGTTCAATTTCTCATTAATGCAATTATCTAATCAACCAATCACATGGCAGTTGCTTCAATGCATTTAGGGGTGTGGTCCTGGTCAAAACAATCTCCTGAACTCCAAACTGAATGTCAGAATTAGAAAGAAAGGGGATTTAAGCTAATTTGAGCGTGGCATGGTTGTTGGTGTCAGACGGGCCGGTCTGAGTATTTCACAATCTGTTCAGTTACAGGGATTTTCACACACAACCATTTCTAGGGTTTACAAAGAATGGTGTGAAAAGGGAAAAATATCCAGTATGCAGCTGTATTATGGGCAAAAATGCCTTGTTGATGCTAGAGGTCAAAGGAGAATGGGCCGACTGATTCAAGCTGATAGAAGAGCAACTTTGACTGAAATAACCACTCGTTACAACTGAGGTATGCAGCAAAGCATTTGTGAAGATCATGGCCGAGACGTCAAATTCCACTTGGCGCAGCCCGTTATCAGCTGTCAATCAAAGTTAACTGCCCTTATTTGTCATACATTTTACATCTAAATACGATCTAAACTAACGAGTTAGAAAAAAAATCACCCCCCTCACAGTTGTCAGGCACGCGGAACATATTGAAGATTACAATAAAAGTCTATGGGACCAAACTGTAAAAACACGAATTTATGCTGTGAAAACGGACATTTTAACTTGGGGTATGTGGACATTTGCTCCCTTTTGGGACTGGCCTCTAGTGGATTTTCAATGTATTGCAGTTTTTCGCACTTCCGGGTAGGCTTCATTTTTCAGATTAGAATGTTGCCGCTTGGGTACCACTCATATCCACCACAAATAGGAAAAAGAGGCTACAATTTGCAAGAGCTCACCAAAATTGGACAGTTGAAGACTAGAAAAATGTTGTCTGGTCTGATGAGTCTCGATTTCTGTTGAGACATTCAGATGGTAGAGTCAGAATTTGGCGTAAACAGAATGAGAACATGGATCCATCATGGCTTCTTACCACTGTGCAGGCTGATGGTGGTGATGTAATGGTGTGGGCGATGTTTTCTTGACACACTTTAGGCCACAAAGCTTGAATTATTTCAAATTCAAGTTTCTTGAACAAGACAATGAGTTCGCTGTACTAAAATGCCCCCCACAGTCACCAGATCTCAACCCAATAGAGCATCTTTGGGATGTGGTGGAATGGGAGTCTCGTGCCCTGGATGTGCATCCCACAAATCTCCATCAACTGGAAGATGCTATCCTATCAATTTGGGCCAACATGTCTAAAGAATGCTTTCAGCACCTTGTTGAATCAATGCCACGTAGAATTAAGGCAGTTCTGAAGGCGAAAGGGGGTCAACCACAGAATTAGTATGGTGTTCCTAATAATCCTTTAGGTCAGTTTATACTTCTAACAGTGGAGGTTACACTGAATAAGCACATAATGCATTCTGCAATGGATTGCTTTTCATAATGCTGGCATTGAATAGGCTGTTTATTTTGCAGATTTTAAAAACAGGATTCTCTGCATAATATTACATTTTCGAATAAATTAGTAAACAATACACCTAAATTCAAAATTAGGTGCATAATGCATTAAGCTTATATAGCATTCAAAAGTTCGGTTCGGTGAGGGGTTCGGTAAGATTTTTTAAAATGTTATGCTCAACAAGGCTGCTTTTATTTGACCAAAAATACAGTAATATTTTAAAATATTATTACGATCTAAAAAAGTGGTTTTCTGTTTTAATATATTTTAAAATGTAATTTATTCCTGTGGTGTCAAAGCTGAATTTTTAGCAGCTATTTCTTCAGTTTTTCATTTTAATATGCTTATTTTGAGCTCAAGAAACATTTCTTATGAGTATTAATGTTGAAAACAGTTTTTCCATGATACAAAAAGAACAGAGAAAACTTGTAACATTATAAAAACTGCAACATTTGATCAATTTAATGCATCCTTGCTAAGTGAAATTAATTTCTTTAAAAAATGAATAAATAAATAATAAAACATATACTGATCCCAAACTTTTGAATAGTTGTGTTCATTATTTTCTTTACTACAAAGAATATTAAGCCTGCACTTTATATCATCTTCATAAGCCCATCACAAAGCACTTTTTTTTTTTTTAACTCTATCATCTTTAAGAGACTGGACACCGAACGAGAGACAATTGAGCTGGTCCACACTAGTCCTACAGAGACCAAAGAGCTGCCAAGCAGAATCCCCACTGATGCCCCACGATACCACTTCTTCCTGTACAAACACAACCATCAAGGACAGGCACTGGAAGCTGTAGGTTAGTGTCAAGATATTAATTCAACCTTTTTTTCTGACAATTTCACAATAAGCTGAGTTGGCTTCTTATGATTAGTAATGATTCTACAAAGCTAATGTCATGTTTGTGCTTGAATATGTGGACCAGTTTTCATCTACTCCATGCCCGGGTATAGTTGTAGCATCAAAGAAAGGATGCTTTACTCCAGCTGTAAGAATCGACTGCTCGATGAGGTAGAGAGAGACTATCACATAGAGATCGCCAAAAAGGTATCTATCTATCTATCTATCTATCTATCTATCTATCTATCTATCTATCTATCTATCTATCTATCTATCTATCTATCTATCTATCTATCTATCTATCTATCTATCTATCTATCTATCTATCTATCTATCTATCTATCTATCTATCATCCATCCATCCATCCATCCATCCATCCATCCATCCATCCATCCATCCATCCATCCATCCATCCATCCATCCATCCATCCATCCATCCATCCATCCATCCATCCATCCATCCATCCATCCATCCATCCATCCATCCATCCATCCATCCATCCATCCATCCATCCATCCATCCATCCATCCATCCATCCATCCATCCATCCATCCATCCATCCATCTCTCCATCCATCTCTCCATCCATCCATCCATCCATCCATCCATCCATCCATCCATCCATCTTAACTTTTATTACGAAATTGCAATTGGCCGCAACTGTGGTTATTCATCCATATTCAATGATCCATCTATAATCAAGTAAGAATATAATGAGCTGAATATGGCTGAATTGACAGTTTAACAATATCCATTACCACGTTTCAGGATATTGGTTTCAAGTGAACATGGTATGACTTTCAAAGTGAGAACATGATGTGCCTGTGGTTAACAGGTTACTTTGCACAGTTTGTGCTTGAGATTTCGTGAGCTTAGAATTATAAGGTTCTATCTCTTTTTAGGCTAGGTCTGAGAAGTTCTGAGATATTGAGCATCAAAGTTTTTTCATCCCAGCTGGCAAAACTATTATGTAGTATAATCCTCTATTATGGCTTTATCTATTATCTATTAATCTTTTTTTTTTTTTTTTTTTTTTTTTTACAAAAATAACACCACACAGGCATTAAAGGTGCAATGTGTAACAAAGTTGAGTATCTATTAACAGAAATGCAATATGACATCCATAACTATGTTTTCATTGGTGTATAAAGAACTTACTTAATTAACCGTAATGTTTTTATTACCTTAGAATGAGACATTAATAGCTCCATAACCGCGGGAATCCCCTTCTATGAAGGTCGCCATGTTGTGACGTCATATTCCTACCGTAGTCGAACGCGAACACACAGTGCTACAGAACGCGTTTCATCACTACCTTGAAAGAGAAGTAGCGGAAAGCTGGAAGCTAGCCTTACACTCCGTGAGTAGTGACTTTTCCCTTGTGAGTGGTGTAAAATATGTAGTTGGGATTGTTTCATGTAACTTAGTTCTCCCTCGCTGTGTTATGGGTTTGTTATGTTGGGGATAGATGTGCTGTTACGTTCGTGAGACAGCTGATGATTAGTATTCATGTCATTGACCGTAAAACAGTACGTTACAGGAATCACTAACCCGTCGATAGAGACTTTTACTAAAGTCTTTTATCACTAAAGTCGATCGCGAAGATTTTTCAAAATCAGAGAAAAAAAGCCTATTGTGTGTAGTAAATAGTATCTATGGGATGCGGAGATGACATGATTGTAACAGCGCGCGCACTTCCGACCTTTGGACTCATGCGGACGCGTCCCAGCTCAGCCACAGTAACAGCTCATATTAGCCAGCTAAACTATTACTACCCTGTTAGAAAAAATATATAGCTGCTCCCTCGCTGTATTATGGGTTTGCTACAGTATGTGGGGATAAATGTGCTGCTGGTTACGTTTGTGAGACAATCAGCTGATTAATATTATTTTATTAAATTATATATTAAAACCCTTGATCCTTACCTGACTATGGCTTTGTAAACAGTATTCATGATGTGGTTTATAATGGACTGTGGTACAGAAACAGTGACAATGTTACACACTCTTGGCTTACTCTGGCTATTCTCTGCTGTCTCAGCCGACGAGATGTTTGTCCCGTTTTAGCAACCGTAGCTTCTTCGAAAGGGAGGGGTGAGCAGTGGGCTGAGCCCTTAGTGCAAACCTGGTGCAAACTCGCAACCGAACCACTAGATGTCGCTAAAAATCACACATTGCTCCTTTAATAAACACCTAATGGATCAGATTATGTCAAACTCAATTTCAACCAAAAGTGGAGATAGAACCTTATAATTCTAAGCTCACGATTTCATTAATGAGAAACACTCCACTTTATCCTTTCATCAGTACATTTTTAAAAGCTTAGAAAATTTTACTTTTAAATTCTTAAAAACAGTTATAATGTGAGCGCTTATGTTTATGTTGTTGGCTACGATACATTTAAAAAAGTAAAACCTACATTAGTGAATATATGCTATAAAAATACAAACTATTGAAACATCTGTTATTATTATCAGCTACGGTTTTGCTGCTTGATATTTTAACCCATGATACATCATTTTCAGGATTCTTTGATCAATAAAGTTCCAAAGAACAGCATTTATTTGTAATATCTTTTGCAACATATCTTTTGTAACATTATACATGTCTTTTGTGCTCTCAGTTGAATGCATACTTGCTGAATAGAAGTATTAATCAAATCAAAAATAATCAAATGCATATATTCATGCACTTCAGTTAATATATTTATGTGTCATGTGTAGATGGAGATTGATAGTGGAGAGGGGCTGACGGAGGATTTCCTGTATGAAGAGGTGTACCCGATGCAGCATGCTCTGAAACAAGCCTTCACCAAGCCAAGGGGCCCTACAGGGAAACGAGGGAACAAGCGTCTAATCAGAGGAGCGGGAGAGAATGGAGATGAGAGCTAGATTTTTACAGTCGACAAATGTAAAATGACACCAGATACACATGTTTAATTTCAACCTCAATGACATGTAGCCTCTTTTCATTTCATTGTTATTATTATTTTTTATGTTAGATTTTAACAAGTCTTCTTTCACTCTGAAACTCATTCTCACACGGTTGTCAAGGCCACATAAATGTGTTGTTTAGGTGATGATTTTTATGTTATAATTAAAATAAAATCTATTAATCTGTCTTATTAAATCTCAGTTTTTGTTTTACATTGGAACAGCATTTTGTTTAGTTAACATTTTGACTGTTGGATTATTTATTTATTTATTTAACTAAACCTTCTGTAGCCTATACCTTTCAGGTAAACAAAATAACTGCAGTTTAAAACAATACACCAATTTCACCTGATATAATGGAATAAATAAAACAATAAATCCTAGTAGCCCTTTATTAGTTTAAATATTTAGTAGAAGCACATTATAATTTTTTTGGAACATTTGAATTTATTATTTATTTTATTAATATCATTTAATTTATTATTTATTATAAACATTTCCCTTTGTTTTTGTTTTCTGGGTATGTCGGGTTGTTTAAAGGGTTAATGCTTGCGCCGAATATCCAGTTACCAGGATGTTAGATGTTATTAGCGAAACACATTTTCAGGAATTAGAATTACCTTGCAGTCACCTCACATCACAACCCCAGAGATCTATAGCTCACATATCTCTTAGTCCATGCTGCTGGCACAGAGGTCAATTTCAGCATTCCTGGAAAGTCTGTAGGCTACTGGGAAAGTCATCCGCAGCTGAAACCGACCCGGGCGCTTCGTCAACGGCACGCTGCAGCCAATAGAAACGCAGCGCACGATGAGGCCGCGAGCGCTGAGATGCAGCAGCGCAGTTCTTGGAATGAGATTCCTAGAACGCGCGTGAACAGCATAGACAGTAAAAGAAAGGTGAACACCCCTAAAACCACCAAAGGCGTTTCATACTGCTCTTATTTCAGGAAAATAATAATCCACCAAGCCAAACGACCTTTCACTCTCATTTAGATGAACTGCTATAAAGCTGTTTTGTTATTTTTCGTCAATTCCGCCCTCTATTCGATTTCCTGGAAAATAGTTGGCAGAGAAGGCTCGTTCGATTTAGACAACAATATTGTTTTTTATAAAATGTTTTAACGAGATTCACTCGGGTTTCGGCGCTCTGTCGGCGCATTGGCCTGGAACACATTGGCCTGTCAGCAGCTTTGGTACAGGACCACACTTAGATTCGCGTAAATGTTACAGCCTGCAATCTTCAAACCGTCATCTTCCAGTCTGTTCGTGACCGAAGCTGACAATTTTATGCAGAAAAAGGTAAGAAGTCTGTCAATTTGTCTTTTTGAAAATCTTTTTAGTGTCATATTCTGTGAAGTGGCCAAACCTGTTTGATGGGTTCATTAGTTTTTTGATGAACTGAGGAATTGTTTGTTCTTCATCATACCTAATTTGTTTCGATCTTGTTGAACAAATTTCGAAATTAAACAATTTCTCTCATCTAATTGCTTTTTAAAATATTTTAAACAAATTAAATGTTATTTTTAAGTACATGCTAATTGTGCATTATGGAAATTTTTGTCCTTTTCATTTTTTTTTATCACTTTGCCTTGTTAATGCATACAATTTGACACAGCTGGGTATTTTTATTGGAATTTTGCCATTTTCTTTAAAAAAAAAATCTTTTTGCGCTAGCTACACAAAATACTCCCTCACCACAATTTTTAATCCCAGAGCCATTTATCTAAATGATGCAATTTTTGTAAAAAGGCTTTTTATTCTGTTGGCAAGGCTTCAAAATGTAATTTTTTTTTTACAATTTTTTTTTTTTTTTACCAGATTTGGCCTATAAAAAATATCGCTTTATTCCTGTTTTCTGCTTCGGCATATTATAGAGCTAATTGCATAAATTGTGCAATCATATTTGTGTGGGTGTGTTGGTGTGGATGTCAGAGTGTGGTTTGTATGTGTGTAACAATTTTTTTTTTCTGAATATGTGTTTGTGTGCTTGTAATATTTGAGAAAGAAAAACTCAATTGCAAATCTAAAATCCAATCAGTGGAGTTTTGCTGGCACCCAATGCGTAAAATCTGTTACTATGGCCAAACAAACTCTTACCAAATGCTCATTTTTTGAGATATCATCCTCAAATTTGGAACACAACCTATTTAGATTTATGGGTTTGATTTTCTTGCTGTTTTAGAGTTCAACCTGATTTATAAAATATATATTTTATATAAAATAATTTTCATAAACACTTTTCATAAACGTACCTATATTTTTCTTCTTTAAAATTGTACTATACTTTATATGTCTGTGCTCCTAAGCTTCACATTTTTATGACAGTTTTTTGACACAGACAATTTTGTCCTCTATGTACCTGTGTAACTTTTTAATTGATGCACAAGGGTTAAATTTAGAAGAAAAAAAAATTAAATAGTTTTTTTAATATATTTTTCAAAAATGTTTTAAACTGCTCTTTTCTAACACCAGCATTCTAGAATTTTGATTTTATTTATAATATTTTATAGACTTAATAACATATCAGTGATTAAATTTTATTATTAACATAAAATATTAATCTGTCATTTTATGGAACAGCATTTTGTTTAGTTAACACTTTAGCATTAAATTAAACAAATTTAAACACATGCATTTTAAAGGTATAAATGTAGGCCTATGTGACCTATGCAAGCACATTTAGCTTTTATTTTATTTCTAGAAATAGAAATCTGTTGGTTACATGTCAAGATGTGTTTTTTCTTCCATATGAAGAAACCTTCAGGAATGGTTGCAAGGGGAACAAGAGCAAGAGCTCAACATGAGAGGGATGAAGCAGAAGTTAAACAAATCCAACAGTCCCAAACAGTTCTCTACCCATGGGCCCCGGCTGAGGACCTGCGTTTCATCACTACCACCTTTCAGCATCTACACACTTCAGGTACGGCTATAGTCTTAAAAAAGAGACCAGCAGACACTAACTAATATTTTACAAAATATAAAATATATCAAAGACAAGGCAAATATAAATAAAGAGAACAATCAATCAATTTGATTTATATTTGATAGATAGATAGATAGATAGATAGATAGATAGATAGATAGATAGATAGATAGATAGATAGATAGATAGATAGATAGATAGATAGATAGATAGATAGATAGATAGATAGATAGATAGATAGATAGATCGATCCAGCAAGTTTATCTCGGTTCTGATAAAATATTAATAAATAAATCAAAAAATTTAACACCTCTCCTTAGGGGCTCCATTCATCTTACTGACCCCAAACAGTAGTGTGTGTCATATAAATAAATTCTTTCTGTTTTAGGATGGTACTGGGGTGGTCTGACAGCCAGTGAGGCAAGGGATGCCCTCATTGGAGCTCCAGAAGGTACTTTCCTTGTGCGTGACAGCAGCCATCCACTCTACCTCTTTACCCTCTCCGTGAAGACCCAGAGAGGCCCCACTAATGTCCGTGTAGAATACGACAGTGGCCGATTCCGTCTCGATTCCAGTTTTCCTGCACGATCTTGCCTGTTGTCCTTTTCTGCTCTTCCTAGTCTTGTGCAGCACTATGCATCCACGAGTCAAGAGAAGGATAGGATAGCAGAAGAACATTACATGGTGTCAAAGGACAAAGGCATTCTGCTGAAGCTCAGGAAGCCTCTTCACAGGCCTCGGGATTTTCCAACATTACAGCACCTCACACGCCTCACTATAAACAGACACACTGATTGCCAGACACAGCTGCCGCTGCCACGGCCGTTGTTGCTTTACTTGCAAGAATATCCCTTTCAAGTGTGAGGACACTTGGGGAGGACACCGGTGCATTCGGTGCATAGGGGGTTCGTTTTTGCCATGCTTCCTGCTTCATTTTGTTATTGTCATATGAAGAGATGCGCATTTGTGCAATTAACAAGGACTACTTTGTGTACATTTTTATTTTTAAATATCTGTAAATATATCTATTTTTAGTAAACCAAAATGTTTCTATATCTTTCTGTGCTTCCATGTTTTCATGGAGCTCCAACTCTACATACATAACACCACAATTACTATTCTGAGTAATACTGTGTCCCTAAAAGTGTCATTTTCTTCAGAAAGCATTTGTGTATATATTTATTTAGAAACAAGCTGATGAAGGAACTATATTTCAGTTGCATATTTGTCAGAAACCATAGATGTCCTGGCAATTCTTGACATTATGTCAGTCCGTAGACCTTTATTTGACACAGAATACATTTAATCAGACTGAACATCATTCCAGGAAAACATAAGGGCTTTTTTCCACACACCAAACACAAAAATACAATTTAGGATATAACATAACAAAAAGAAATGAATAAATAAATAAAATAAAAAAAAATAAAATCTTTAAATTTGTGCAGGACAATAATGATAATGATAATTTTTCTGGGACCTCAAAGTGCTTTACATATGGAAGGGGAGGAATCTCCTCAAACACCACCAATGTGCAGCATCCACCACCTGGATGATGCGACGGCAGCCATATTGTGCCAGAACGCCCACCACACACTAGCTTAATGGTGGAGAGGAGACAGAGTAACACCCCTACTCTTTTTCGAAGGACACCCTGGGATATTTAATGACCACGGAGAGTCAAGACCTCGGTTTAACGTCTCATCCAGCTCTTTGACAGTATTGGGTCACTACACTGGGGTGTTAGGACACACACAGACCACAGCGTGAGCGCCCTCTACTGGCCTCACTAACATCTCTTCCAGCAGCAAACCTGTTTTCTCAGGAGGTCTCCCATCCAGGTACTAACCAGGCTCAGCCCGGCTTAGCTTCAATGGGCAACCAGTCTTGGGCTACAGGGTGATATGGCTGCTGGCTTCAATGAACTTCAATTTAAAATTTTCAAACATCCCTCATTTTTCGTAAATTTACAAGCATGTTATATTTTGATCCACATGATGACATTTGATAGGCATATCATATTATAATGTAACTTTCTTCCTTTCAATAGTCTTGCCAACTTCAACAGAGGAAAATTATGGACAATCTTGGGTTCTTTAGCCTATAATAAAACAAGAAACAGAATTTATTTGCACCACATGTGTTGTGTGTTTGTCTGCAGCTATGCATTTGTTTAAAAAAAAAAATCTCTACTTGACTAAAGTAAATGGTAAAATAAGAAGACATAATCACTTTTCCTTTTTGCTTACTTACTGACCCGGAAAACAGTAGGAAAAACACATGTTAATGTCAAGCACTACAGAGTTTAGGCCAAATATGATTAGAGAATTACAGTTGTCCTCGTACTCCAGAACAGGATCACAGTCATTTTTTTCAATTATATATTTTTAATGATGAAAATGTAAATAAAAATGTAAATACAAGCACCTCACTTTTTATCTCCTAATTATATTTTGGTACGTCATAATTATGACATAATTATGGTACATCGTAATTATGATGTAGTATGTCATAATTTCGGACGTTTTATCCCATAATTATGCCATATATTTTTTTTCTTATGGTGGAATAGGCTTGGAAAAGGCGCTAGATATTCGTCAGACTGATTCAAACTAGATTAAAACCTGTAATGCGTCTTTTTGAACTGTTAAAACAAACTGTCTCATTTGTGTCGTATTATTTTCACATTAAAATTTGTGTTAATAGATTATATGAATTATCTGACAAAAGGCTGGAATGAAAGACTCGAGACTTTTATGTTGAAAATAACAATGTGCGTCAGTTATTTCCGGTTGCGCATTTCACTTGAATCTGGATGACAATATGGCGGAAGGAGAGGAGCCGTAAGTGAAATTTTACACACAACTGCTCATAAATCCCTCGTAACAGTGCTTGTAGTTCAATCAACAGGACGCAAGAACGTTAACTTGCGGGTAGCAGAGCATGAATGAACCTTCTTTTATTCTCTCTTTTTAGGGAGAAGAAAAGAAGGAGAATAGAGGAGCTGAATGAGAAGTTAGTGAAATGAAAGATGAGAATTTAGATGTGGCAGCCAGCAGGTTTGCTTTGGGAGGTGTTAATCCTAAAAAATAGCTTTATCTATAATCCAGATACTGTTCAGACATGATTTTGAAGAGCTTTCCGCATACAGTGTATATAAATATAATCTGTCTGAAACCTAGGTGAAAGCTTGCAAAACCTCCAAACACTGCTGTTTGCACACGTGCCATAATGTTCTTTCTTAATATATAATTTATACGACACCTTCTTTGTATTAATTATGAAACTTAAAGGCAGTGCCACCCAAACCAACTCAAATAATTGTTGTATATAATGTATTGTAGATTATTTTATGTGTGAATGGGTTTTATAATTATTTAATAATCTTGGTGATGTGTGTGCTGTGTAGTTAAATCTTTATATTTTTTCACAGAATGGTTGTGGATGGAGGGAGTGGGGACTGCACTGGCTGGCAGGGAAGATGGGACCATGTCAAAAAGTTCTTAGAGAGAGCTGGACCCTTCACTCATCCGGATTTTGAACCCAGCACTGAGGTAAGATGGAAATCATAACATAAAATATACATTCCACTCCCCTTTTATAAATGTATACATCTTAATGACTGCTGGTTACTTATTGTTCATAATTACTACACCGATATTGCACACCGTGGTCTATTTCATCTGAAAATGTCATCAGAAAAGAGATATGTCACCTCAAGAGGGGATGGAATTTATTTTGATGGAAAGATTATGAGTGCATAATTTTTAATTTAAAAATGTTTATCCACTAAATTTCAAACAACTGGAAGAGTCATGTCAAAAGGTTTAGAACCAATGTGACTAGTTTTTGAACCATTTAGCTTCACGAGTGTCTGATCCAAAATCATTCAGTTTGTTAAATGTTCCATGAAATGTGCACATCTTCTTCCAGTCTCTCCAGTTTCTGTTAGACACATGCAAAATTCTGGTTATTGGAGCTGGCGGACTTGGATGTGAGCTGCTCAAAGATCTGGTAGGGTCCTTGTTTTGCTGCATTTGTTTAGACAGATTCTTGTTTGTTCCTATTCTTGAATGACAGCTACAATACTCTGGTTGCAAAGAGCACAATACTCTAGTGGCTACTTGCTAATGTGTTTTGTTTTTTTGTCTTATGCTCATAAACAATTTCATCACGCAGGCTTTGTCAGGGTTTCGACACATTCATGTGGTGGACATGGACACCATTGATGTTTCCAACCTCAACAGACAGTTCCTCTTCAGGTTAATCTTAGTCAGCTGATGTATATCTTTTTGAAACATTTCTTATTCTTTTTCTTTAATGTAAACTGTTTTCTGTTGGATCTATAGACCAAAAGATGTGGGCCGACCAAAGGCAGAGGTTGCAGCAGACTTCGTAAATGACAGGATCCCTGGGTGCAATGTTGTCCCGTATCCTTGTCGTGATATAATTATTGTTTGATACATTACTAATCAAAAGTTTGGGGTCAGTAAGTTTGTTATTATTATTATTTATAAAATAAATGAATACTTTACGAAAAACACATTTATAATGTTACAAAAGATTTCTATTACAAATGAATGCTGCTCTTTTAAATATTCTATTTGTCAAAGAATCCTGAAAGAAATTGTATAACACTGAAGATTGGAATAATGATGCTAAAAATTAAGTTCTGCCATCACAGGAATAAATTACATTTTAAAATAGAAAACAGTTATTTTAGACTGTAATAATATTTCAGTTTTGGATCAAATAAATGTAGCTTTAGCCTGTGGTGAGCATAAGAGACTTCAAAAACATTTAAAAAAATCGTATTGAGCCCAAACTTTGCAGGGTATATGTTATATCGATGCAATGTCAAAATATTTCTATTTCCCTTAAACAGTAATGCAGACATTTTAAGAAAATCCAGGACTTGGATGAGACATTTTACAAGCGTAATTACCACCTAACTGTTTTACATTCCTCAATAATGCTGTAACCTTTCTAGCACTATACAAAATGTGATGCTGTTGTTCTGCAGTCTGAGACTAATTATTATGTCAGAAATTAGAGTAATGTTTTTAGAGTAATGTTGCTGTGTCTCTGTTACTGCATAGAATTTCACATAGTAGTATGTGGCCTGGACTCTGTTGTTGCCAGAAGATGGATGAATGGCATGCTGGTATGTAGTTATTTTTCGAAACATTCAGCAATCTGTTCACACAAATTTATAGACAACGTCTTCTTTATGTCATGTAAATAAAGTGTTAATACTGTGAGAAATATTTTTGTTCATTTGGCTTTTTCTTTTTCAGTTATCCCTGCTGATTTATGAAGATGGTGTCCTGGATCCCAGCTCCATTATTCCTCTAATAGATGGTGGCACAGAGGGCTTCAAAGGCAATGCCCGAGTCATTCTTCCGGGCATGACGGCTTGCATTGATTGCACCCTGGAGCTTTACCCCCCACAGGTGCATACTGGGATTTTGTGTTTGTTGAATTTTTAAAAGTCTTATCATACTCATTTTTTTTTTGTTTTGTCTTACACAGATAAACTTCCCAATGTGCACTATAGCCTCTATGCCACGGTTACCTGAACATTGTGTTGAGTATGTCCGCATGCTGCTTTGGCCCAAAAACAAGCCTTTTGGAGGTACGTTCATTTGCGGTATCTACATGGAACTTGGCGTACTACTGCAGACTGATATTTTGGTTATACTGCTGCTTGGCAGCCTGCTAATATTTCAGATTTTTAATGTATTTTCCTCAGATGGTGTGGCGCTAGATGGTGATGACCCAAAGCACATCCAGTGGGTCTACCAGAACTCTTTGGAGAGAGCAGCAGAGTTCAACATCACTGGGGTGACTTACAGACTCACTCAGGGTGAGTGACACAGGCCTGCTCAGTGGCATTTTGTGAAATCCTTTCGTTTGTAGACAGAATCTTTCTCACAATTCCACTGAACTATGGTAAACACTTTATTTGGTAAACAATTCCTTTCTTAGGTTGTAAGACAAAGGTGCCCAAACCAGCTTCAGTCCTCTCCCTCTCATTATTATTGGGCCCACAATA